GCGACTTGTTCCAAAGATCTGAACTGTAATGTAGGAATGTAGTGCTGTAGCTTGCTTGTTATTTAATCTATCTATACCATTTAATCTATACCGTTAAACATTCTAGACAAAGCAATAACATCTCCATGGAGAGAAATTGGTGATGGACCATCCACTAGAAATGTTACGCAGTGCACCTTTAAGTAAACTTGGAACAACAACTATAACTGTGTTTTTGGTCCCACACAGGTAAACCGGATGTGCTGGCGTATAGACTGTGACGTAGATGTCCACATGTAAAGCTGTATTTAGGATGTGTGCGTCAATAGGGTATCTGTATGTCTTTTACCAAAACGTCCCACATCTGGCCTTTGCTCTGTCATGATAGGAAGTCTTAACTGCGATCATTTTATATAATAATCATGTACTTGAGGCAGTGAAAAAGATTGAAAAAGTGCATTTCATTTTTGGCTTTTTTGGGACTTTAACAATAGCAAGAACTTAGTATAATGTTTCTACAGTTGGATTTGTATGGAGAGCTTTTTCTTACTCTGTGATATCTATTTTGATCCCTTGCAGTGTGTGGAACAAAATGGCATTACATTTCATTGATAGAACGAGATGAGGGACTTGCAGGATTATTATTATCAAGCTATTTTATACATATTTCTCATGATACATTGCTTACTATAATTAAAATGTATTTTTACTGTAATTACTTTCAAATGCCTTGTAACTTGCTCATATAGGGACATACCATAGAAGTACACCAGACCAGGATTTGGTACTCAAAAGTGCGCTACAAACTTGTAAATTATAGGCATCATTTAAAGTTACCCATTGAGTTCTGCATATGTAGTGTTGTGTACTCTATTGTAGTCTATTTGAGTATGATTGCTATACTTTGTTTTTAAGTGTCTTTGTTTAATTTGGAGACATTTATAGGAATATAACTTCTGCTTCACTATAAGAGACTTGCTTCTAAATGTGTTCTTAACTCATTCTTTGGGCTTGGCTTGTTTGTACAGAATAAACCTAGAGCAACATTTGATTTGTTGTTTGTTTACAAAATAATGTAAGGTCTTTTGGGAAAGCTAACTGTAACTACATAGTAATTGTATGTACTCCGAAGCTCAGTTACTCACATTTAAAAGGAGTTTTAGTAACGCGTAAGTGCTCCTTGGATACGCCGTGGTCTGGACCCTGTGTGCATTGGCTAAAACCAGAATGGACCCAAAGGACATTAAAATTTCTTTGACTCATAATGTTGTTTAATCAAAATGAAACAAATATTAAAAGATTTTTGGAACTAAATCCTCTAAGTTTTCGGAAATTATTCTTCAGCAAATGTGTACATTGTAATTCAGCATTTACACTCACCTGGAGATTACATGTCAACTAATTTAAAGGTCTTAAATGTGCATTATGTAACTTTTCTGTTGAAGAGCCCACCAGGTCCATGGAAATGTTGTTTGTTGTTTTGCCTGAAATGTTCTACAGTATGGCATTAAAATTATTGATCACCTTGGAAATAAGCAGATACTGTTGCCAGGCTAAGTAATAGCTCAGAATGCATGTATTTCAAGGTACTGCAATGGTATCAAAATATTTGTTATTGAATACATGCACTATTGATAAGTTTAATGCCATATTGTGGAACATTTGTTTCATTTTGAGACATGCAGGTGGCAGACCCTTCACTTCCTAAAATGCTCTTCAGTTATATACATGTTTCTTTGTGTACTTAGCGTACATCAAGAGAATTTCAAACAAGAATCTTTATGTGGTGTGAAAAATATACTTAAAGGTCAGGCAACTGTGTCCAAAGAAATATTTGGACATAAATAAATTGACTCCCCTTCACTCTCTTCTGTTCCCTTCAGTTTGACATTTGCGTTTCCCTGTGAAAGCTGTGGTGCAGATGAATAATGCTGTTTGGAGAGGAGTTCACAGTGCTCCTGATTTCACTGTAACGAATAATTTAGGCTTTCACCACAGGAGGTGATCAGCTCCAGCACACTCGTGACATGCTTTTGTCCTCTGCCTCCTGTTTGTCTGTGTGACAGCTGTTTGTTCATTTGACAGAAGATAAAATACCACACATTATCATATCAGCTAGAGGAGGGGCCGTGCAAATATTTCACGGGGGTCTGTATAAACATATGCACAGTACCACATTGGCTATGCAAACATGGACGAGTATATCCATCACTGAGCACACGATTATAAAAGGGCCCATCATGCATTATTCCTAATGGAGTGTTCATATCTGCACAGAGGATTATGATACAAGCACTTCAGCATATCACAGACTGTACGGTGATTTTATTTTATTTTCTAATTTACTTATTTGAAAGGTTAAATGTGCACTGCACAACTTTTCTGGTAGAGGTGCATTAACTACTTCTCTCTATTTAAATGTCATTGATTTGCCTGGAATGTTCCAAGGTATGACTTTAAACATTTCCATCTAGCCTTTATTCATTACAGGTGTTTATGTTGTTGAAAAATACAGTAATTCCTTCTGTGAATAGAGGCGACTCTCCACAGATCTGAAGTGTAATGTACTGTGCTGTAACCTGCTTGTCTCCCTTGTGATAGATACGTTTAATCTTACTTTGGAACATTCTAGACAAAGCTGTAACATTTCCATGGAGACATCAGGTGGCGGACTTTCCAATTACTTTAATGTTTGATTATCGGTATAATATATAAGGAGCATATTAGTTATCAATTATAAAAGAAGCAACCATACAACTGACAATTTGTACTTTTTAAAACTTATCACTTTAAAGGTGCATTTGGTAACTTTTTAAAGCACAAGCTCTTCTCCATGGAGATCATATCACCTTTCCTGGAAAACTGGTAACTATACATTCTTATACAGTATAAACTGGCCTGTGACTTGGATTGTTGGCACTACCTGTTTTTTTCCATGGAGAGAGGTAAGTTTTAATGCTGCCATGGAATATTTTAGGCAAAGCACATCTTCAAGTAGGTGTTTAACCAGAGAAGTTACATAATTCCCATTGCTGACAACACATTTGTTTCAACTCTGAACTTCTTGAATATATTTTATTAGGTTTAACACAGTAATTCCCCTTTTAAGCTGCACCTCTGGCTGACGTCACAATCCTGCTTCTGTACGATATGGTTTATTCATAACCGGATGAATTGCTCTCGTCTTGCCGCGCAAACCCTGAAAACTTGTCCTCCCACCTAATCCCATCTTTGACTGTCAGAAGCACTGCTCATTCACAAGACAAAGTGACACATTCACTGGCTGTGGGATAATTAATGTTTCTCTTTGCCGTGTTTTCCCTCACATTTCAAAGGCCTTCCTCTATAGCCTTTAGAGCTTAACAAAACCTCTGGCATTAATCCTTTCTGCACACGCTAATTACTTGATCTGTTATGGCTCTGGGTTGTCAAGACACAAAGCAAAACTCTTATGGACAGGCTAGAAATCCACAAGGCTATTATTATAATGTCATAACCATTAATTTCCACAATGGTTATATTTATATTATAAGAAACCTGGAGTGGTGCTGCTGTAATTGATTACGTCTGAAAATTTTTCATGCTACAATGCAGAGGTTTTTCTGTCAACTGAAAAATGTATCTTTGTCAAACATTTTAACAGTGAGAATTATCAACATGGTCCAAAAACATCTTATACGCTCACCAATAAATTTATGATGTGAGCACTACTCTACTCTCCATCTCTCCATCAGAGATAAGTACTAAACTTCATAACGCATGCTCTGATCATCATTAAAGGTGCTCTGTGTGACTCATTGTCTCCACTTGTCTCCATGGAGATATTATTGCTTTGCCTGAAATTTTCCACACTATAAATTTAAATAATTATTGCTATCTTGCATTTATTTCATAGTTTAAAACATGCATATTTTATCTGAGAGAGCTCATCTGATTTGACCTGTCACTTGGGCAGGTGGCATCGCCTGCTTGTCACCTCGGCGATGGTGGACCCTCCAACCAGAAAAGTTACATAGTGCAACTTTAAAGAAGACTTTATAAATACATTGTTTCTACTTTCTGATTATCTGTTTAAATTATGTTAAAGAGGCCAAATCTGTCGTGACACAAAATGTAATACGTAATTCTATAGCCTAACATTCTTTATTTGTGGTGTGCAAAATTCTCCCAAAAGTCTGTGTTTTTGTTGCCCCACACTGGCCTCTTTGTCCAGATCTCAGCTTTGACATCAACTGGGTCAAAGCAGAGGGAGGGGGGGCCGCAGCTGGAGCCCACCCTCAATGTCACCCTTGTTAGTCAACTTCATCAATGTCATCCACTGGCATCGCAATTTATTTCTGTCTTTACTGTGTGTGCACTTTTAAAGATGTTCCCTTCAAGGACTGTCAAGACAAACTGTCATCCTATAGAGTCTGGATCTCACCCAGGCAGCAGAAAGTACATGACTAAATATATACTTACACAAAATATATACCTACACAATTTTTTTTATGTACTTTAAATCAACATAACTCACTATTTTTTTTTGCAAGAGTTTGACATGGTATTGCATAGAGCCAAATCTGTTTAAAAAAGTACCTAATTTGTCTTATAACAGAAATCTAGCATTTTAAAAGTAGTGTTAGTAGTAGTAATAGTATTTACTAAAATGTTTTGCAGATATCTCTTCAATTAAATGACAAAATTTTGGTAAAAGTGGATATGAATATTTTATGGATCTATACAATATCTCAAATTAAACAAAGATATAATAGGAAGATAAAGTCAAAAAACGTACAGACCTGTCTTCAAATATCAAAGCATAGAGATTATAAAGGAACAGGCTGGAACTGTCCCAAACTGGCGCTGCTATAAAAATGAGTGGCAGCTGAAATGGGCCTTTGTGACTTTAAGATGAGACTTGGGGAGATGTGCTCTATTGTTGATGAGACAAAAGCTGGAGTCAGATTCATATAAGAGCTGCACCGAATAACTTCTCATATCCCCATATCTCTACAGTCACCGGGGCATCTGGGAAAAAACTCCAATAAGTCTCTCAAACCACCTTTACCGGACATGGGTGAGTGTAATGAATCTTTAATAACTTTTCTGTTGAATACGCTTTGAAAATCTGTGTCAATAACTTACTGATGTGACCTTGAATGAATCCATCTGAATCTGATTTTGTTTTTTGTCTCCAAGCTGTATACAAGTCATATTATTTTTTATTTCACTGTAGTGCTCCAATGGTGCGCAACTTTTTAGTGTGTATTTTTAGGTTTGGTATTCGTTCAATCGATATTACTTCTTGTCATTTTTATTTCCTTAAATTTTGATATAGTTTTATTACCGTCCTTTTATGTTTTGATTTGTTTGTATTGTGATTTTAGTGTATTTCTTATTCTGTAAAGCACTTTGAATTACTTTGTGGATGAATTGTGCTATACAAATAAACTTGCCTTGCCTTTTCATAAAAATTCTTCAGCACTATCGTTAAGCAAGGCAAAGCAAGTTTATTTGTAGCACAATTTGTACAGAAAGTAATTCAAAGTGCTTTCAAATACAAGACAGGCACATTAAAATGGCAACACAAACAAAAAGTCAATAACATAATATAATTCAAAGAGAAGAGTGCAGAATAAAATAATTAAAGTCGTATGTACAGCTTTGAACGTTGCAAAGTAGAGGCCTGCTTTACATCTTTGGTAAGACTGTTTTCAACTGTAGTAAACTGAAACGCTGATTCCCCATGTTTAGTCATAACTCTTGACTGCGAGATGGTTCCAATGGCACTTACTTTGTCAGAGATGTGCTTTGGTGTAGGCCATGTAGAGACACTTTTGTTCAAATTTACTGTAAACAGACCTTGATATTTGCCCTAAGTTAGTCCTGGTTGAACCTTACTCTTTGGAAAAATTGTTCTTGTATTGTACAGGGTGGCCACTTATGTACAAAATGTAATTATATTTTAGAACATCCTGAATAACTACTGAGCTTTAACCCAGTTTCAAACCTTGTTGTCAAAATTTTTCTTTTCTTAATATGTGTCTTTTAATCTGATGTCTAAATTGGCAGCTGGTGATTGTCAGCGGCCTTCATCATGCCAAGGCCATGTCAGGACATTCATGTGAAAGAGGTCACTCACTCCCACATGTGTCCAATGAATACATTTGCATCTTCTCATGGGCCCAGAACCCAAACAAGCTTTTTTTTTTAAGCAAAACAATGGATCTTCAGTTTAAGGAGTTATCATGTTTGCAAAAATATTGAGTTTGTAGTAGATTTTGTGTGCTGTTTGGACACTATTTGGGAGTATTAGGAAAAGCATTGGCACACTTGTACTGTACATTGGCTTGTATTTTGTGTAGTGCTGCAGCAGAAGAGTGGGCGTGTATGTGCACATTTTAGGGACTCTTGCACTCCTCCTGCTGTTACTATTTATACTTAGCAGCTTAGTTTGTTTCTTCCTTTAAAAATGTACATGAATATCTGCCTTTTTTGGTTCATTTGGTTCATTCAGTTACAAAAAAATATATATAGTGTTTTGGTTCCAGTGGAGATGGGTGGCATCAGGTCAGTGATGCCTTGGGGTCTTGGTGACCTCGTGGGCACCACCCCTTGCCCCACTGTGTTGTGGCACTATTGTCTATGTTTCTTTGCCCTTTGTTCCACCTCTGGCAAAGACAATCGATATTGTGTTGAGATCCACAATGAGCAGCTTTTTCCTCTTGGAGCTCATGGCCAATGTAGCACCACCATTCTCCCAGTGTTACCACCCCAGGGTTGGACCAGCAGAGGGTTTCTAGCATAGATGTAGTCAGCACAGAGAGAGCGCTTTTACATTTGTAACTGTAGTGTGGATACTGGAGTGAGTGGTGGGCAGTGGGAGACTTCTTGTTGTTTCCAGGATGTTTCCAGTGAGACAGCCTTGGCTTTGCAAGGCCTTAGGTGCTCTCCTCTATCTCATTTCTACCATTTGATTTACTCTTAGACTTAAACTTACACAAACTTTATTGATCCACAAGGGAAATGATTTGGACACTGTTTGCTCTGTGGATATCTGCTTGATTGTTACACTGACAGGCATGCTTCTTGTGTTTGGACGCTGTTTTTTTCAGATACTCGTGGTATTGTTGCTTGTGTTTTTGCTATTGGCTGTGATGGTGGTGGCTTCTGCAGAGCTGGTGCACTCATGTGTTGTGTGATCGTGTGTGCGGTGTGTGCAGCGTGTCTGCTCATCTATTATACCCCCTCAGGTTGTTATGACTGCTGCGTGCGCTGCATTGGGGCAATCCCGTACCCCTCGCTGGTGGCCACTCTTCTGTGCTATGCGGGTGCGGCGTTATTCTGCGGAGCTGGGCACCAAGCTCTGGCCCACACAGAGGTTCTGGTGGAGACCCACTTTGCCCGGAACCCTCAGGACTATGAGGTCATGGACTCTTTGTAAGTCACACATTTAGGACAACTGTTTAAAGAGTATGTTTGTTTCTAATTGTGTTTTTCTTTTGATGTGACAGTATCAGGTACTTCCAGTATGTCATCTATGGGCTGGCCTCGTTCTTCTTCCTCTATGGTATTTTATTGTTGGCTGAAGGCTTCTACAGCACCAGCGCTGTAAAGCAGCAGTTTGGAGAGTTCAGGAGCACCCAGTGTGGACGCGGTCTCAGCCTCACGGTGAGCAGAGGAAGGGGGGCTTTAGTGATACATTTGCAACTGATGTCATCCATATTCCTTGAGGGGGTGAAGCTAACTAGAGACACTGCTTTGTCTAAAACGACTCAAGTTAGAGTTCAATATGAGCTTTGTTTTAACACAGTCTGATATAAAGAACTATGTCAGGTGAGAAGATTTGTGCTGTTAGACAATTTAATTAGGCTACATTAAAGTCACCAGCTAGCACTAGTCAATAGTTTTTCAGGTTCACATTCAAACATCAGATGGGATCATATCCATATTGATCACAGGTTCCTGAAAATGTGTTTAAATCCTTTCTGTATATATATATATTTTTAGACCATCTAAATACGTATCAGGCTATGTTTACATTCCTTCATAGACATCCATGCTGTCCCACCAGCGTGAGTAGGAGAGGGCAGTGGATGTATACATTTAATGACATGTTTTCAAGGCCACCTTTTATAGAGAAAAGATTGAATGGTGAGGGGCATAGTTTAAATTTGATTAGTCTAATTGTTCTAGTTACTTTTTTATGGTGTCATTGCTTTTATATTTTATTTTGTTACATTGTCACACAAAAAATAAATAAATTAAAAACATTATCTAAACACAGTGCAACACTAATACATACATACAGAACTTCAACAGGTACAGATACAGTTTGTGCCATTATAACTAATCAAGCACTGATTACCTTATATGCGACAATAGACTTATATGACTCATTGCAAAGAAGAAAATAAGAACTATTAGTGTTAGTGTGGTAACCATTAGTAGCACCTCCACATGGCCTTGTATACAACCTTGTACTTTAACCCTCTTCATTTTGACTCAGAATGCTTTCTCTCATCTCTCTATAGTTCATCATAGTGACGTACATTCTGGCTTTCATCTGGCTGGTGGTCTTCGCTTTCAGCATCATCCCACTCTTCTTCCTCTTCAACATGGAGCAAACCTGTCACAACATCAACATTTTGGCCGAGACCACCCCCAGCATCAATCAGCACAACTGGGTCTGCATGGACGCTAGGCAGTATGGTATGTGCCCACCTGATCAAAATACTAATGTGGCTCAATTAAATAGACTGTATTAAGTAAAAGTGCTGTGGTTGAAGTAATGAAATCTTACTACATTTTTGTATTGCTCACATAAAATGAATGGCAAATAAACTGATCAGGATTCAGCCTTTGTAATACCTGAGTCATGTCTTCATTTCAGGTCTTCTTCCCTGGAACGCGATGCCTGGCAAAGCGTGTGGGATGACCTTGGCGTCCATTTGCAAAGCCAGCGAAGTAAGTCCATTTATTCACAAGTTTTGTTTTGTGCTTTGGTATTATTTGTCCTTGTTGAAGTGAAGAGATAAAATTTCTGTGAGAGTTAAAATGGTATGGGATCATCCACAAAAAATGGATACAGTGTGTAAATGAACTGTATAACCCTGGCTACTGATGAACTTGTGTTTTTGTTTTTTAGTTCCACGTGGTGTATGACCTCTACATAGCAACATTTGCAGGTGCAGGAGTTATGCTGTTAGCACTGGTGAGACGTGTGTTTTTGGTCTGGAATCATTCTTTCAATATCATACTTTACTATTTCTTGAAAATTCATATGCCTTAAGTTTATTTATTTATTATTACGTATGAAAGAGTTTCAGATGACATTGTGACATATAGGCCAATAATATAATGTAGATTTTTGTTTAAATTAGAGCGAGGCCTACGGTCTAGTTACCAATAGAAATAATTAGGTTCAACATTTGTGAATTTATCTCTACTGAATATAGGATATTTCTTGTGAGGATACCATGTTGTCAGTATGGATAACTAGCTGTTGCCCTCCTTCTGGGAGGATTCATTTGAAACCAACAATATATTTTCTTCCAGTATTTTACTCCTGTCGTGAAATAAACATTCATATTATGACTATATCCAAACCATGGAAGAAATTTATTGATGCTACAGTAAGCCAATGCATTTCTGAGAGATTTTGTCCTTTTACCACAAGATTTATGCAGTTTGGAATAGTTACAGCTGAAGCATAGAGTACTTTGGCTATCATAATAGATTGCATATATTTTTGATTGCATAACTGTTATTCTGTTGTAACAAATCAGCCTGTTTATGGTCCTAATAATGAGTAATAAACCTGAATGTCTGATGCTCTCTTTTGCAGTTTTTGTATCTTGTCGCCACCACCTACAACTATGCCGTCCTGCGGTTTCTTGGCAGGAAAGGTATCCGCTAACTCCACGCCTCCATCCGTCCAGCTCCAGCTCCACTTTTGGCTGTGAGACGGACAGTCACTGCACACATCACTGGCTCCCATTCATCTCTGTGACACAGCGGCGTCCACACGGATCGCTGCTATTTCTCTAAAACTGTCCAATAACTGACACAGGTATCTCATAACTGTCCATATGAGCAACGGGGAGAAATGAAGCACTTTTATTTCAGCACCAAACTTAAGGCTCCGCGGATTCTCTCGGGTTGTTCAGTGTCCTCCTGTGGTGTATGTATCATTTTGTAAAGATGTTTTTGTTTTTAAGAATGATATTTGATAAATAATTAAGAGTATGTGTGCTGTGGTAAGTTAGAACAATAAGTATTGTTCTGAAACTTAAAAAAGTAAAACTCTGAAGTGTGTTGAGGTAGATACAGTATATACACACGCAAAAGGACACAGGGCCTCTGCCAAGGCAGTGATCTGACCTCACAACACCTGTATGATGTCATGATCAGACCTAGTTTTAGTATAGTTAAGTATAGTTTTAATACATTCTTCCATAACACAAAATCATATAAAACCATTATTTCACATTGCATAATAATATAAGACTGCCAAACAGCGAAATAATCAAAAATCTGTGCACATTTTGCTAACTATTAAACTGGTGTACTCACAGCACATGTTTCTCTGTGTTTCTTTATGAATGTTACAGGCCTTTTCACACTATTTTTGCTAATATAATGTGGACTCAAAGTAAATCTGAATGTATCAAAGTTTTCTGCCTGAGAGATAGAATCCGTCTTTCAGTTTTCCCTTCAAAGCAAATTGCATTCAGTGGCTTTAGCTTTTTGCTTTGTTAAACACCAGTGTGTGGGAGGACACAATGCATAAAAAGAAGCTGGTGCTAATGCTGCTTTCAGGGCTTTATGTAATACTTCAAGACTGAAGTGTTGCTTATGGATCGTTTGCTTAGTCTGTTGATTAAAAACAATTAAAACATATTTCTCTTTGTGGATTTATTGTCATATTCATAATGTATTACATACACTCTCTGGCCATAAAATTGTAAACAACTGCCACAGTGTCTGATGCACTGTCACTGCTTTCTGCAAACCCAGCACTGACTTCTTCAGTAAATCATTTGAGCTACAGAAGCTGTTGGATCTGACCACATGGGGCAGTAATAAACCCTAATCAAACTCAAATGCTTCACTTTCTCATTCCTGTTTCAAACAACTGTAATGAACAAACATGCATGCTGCTTATATTATGTTATCATTACAGACACCATGATGGAGAGATAATCTGTTACAATCTGCAACTTCACATTCTCCTGCCATTGTTATATGTGTAAATAAAAATATAATTAAACAAATGCAACATGATAGTGGAAGATACGTCATCGAATGGATAAAAACAAAGTGAACATATATGGCTCAGGTGAGCCTGTAGACTTTATCATAGCACTCACTGCAGTAAATCACTTGATTGTGTTGGAACATTGGGGTCAGCAGGTCTCCCAGGATCTTTGCGCACTCACCACACTAAAAACATACAATAAATATATAAAGTTTAGGTGGCTGTTATATTTGTCTTCACATTTGTATTTGATGAAGGATGGAAATACTAACCATTAGACACTCAGGGTGGAGATACTTTGGGGGATAACTAACTGTGAGCTTTATCAGTCCAATAAACTGGTCACAGTGTGAACAAACTTCTTTCCCATCTCTGAGGGAGAAGTTATATCGACAAGTTAATTTAAATAAGAGCACAAAACACAGCACAACAAGAAACATTTAAAATACCTCATAATAAAGGAACTGATTTCTTCCTTCTCCTCTGGACTTGACACACTACAACATAAAAAGTATAAATAGGAAAGCACAAGGCTATCAATTTTACTAAAGTAATATAAATATATGAGAAGCGAATACACTTCCATCTGATCATAATTAAACAGTATTTTAATGGATTATGCTGTATTATCATAAAGGTCCTATATTATGCGAAATTGACTCTTGAGAGCTTTAAGCCATGTTAAATTATCATTACCTCCTCAAAAACATGTGCAAAAGAAAAAACAGATCTGCACTACAGTTCTTTGGAGGTCTCAAATTTCTGAAGGTCTGAAGAAGGACTTGACCCTGAAACATCACATTGTGGTGTCATTTAAAAGAAAAAATTGGGAGCTTCAAAGAACTGGAGTGCAGATCTGTTTTTTCTTTTGCACAATTTTTGTATTTGGATGCAATAAAGTTGCAACTTTTATTGCATGTGCAGTATTATTACCTCCTCAAAAACATGCCTGGAGTTGTGTTTTGTTTCATTCACACATGTTTGAGTAACTCTTTCTTATTAGTCTGTCTATATCTCCAAAGATCAAAATACTTTATTTAACATTGTGATGTCATGAAGGAGTAGTTAGCTGCTACTTTTACTTTTAGTTCAGATTGAAAATTCCAGGGCTGAAATCACCTGAATGATTCTAGTGAAGGTGTATGGATTTTAAAAACACAGTGGAACACCTCCTGTATTACCACATGACATCAGAATGTGGAGTGAGTGTTTTCAGTTTGAAGAATTCAGCCTAAATATACAGGGTTTGTGTGTTAAACATATGTTTATGTCTTCAGGTAGGAAAGAACATTATAACAGACCAGAAAATAGCATAATACAGGACCTTTATAATGATTATGATTGTCCAGATGACATTTTACTACCAGATACCTTTCACCAGATACCTTTTACTACCATAGACTACTCCTGGATGGATGGGGGATCAATTTAAAATGAATGTATTTTTTCTTATTGATGAGGCATATGATATCTTTGGTACAATCTCTTTGTACATAATATTTTGCAGGAAACTGTATAAAAAGGGTTTACAGTAAATGTCATTAATTATAAATATTTAATTGTCATGTACCTGATGTTGTCTGTAGGCTGTTTCTCTTCACCTGAGTCTTTGGGGTCTTCAAACCCATTCACAGTTTTGTCCACTGTTGCTTTCTCTAAGACATCTGTTAGTTCAAACTCTCCTCCCTCTTCTTTGCTCTGTTCACTATTTGTAACTACGTCGAGAGCATCACTTATTTCCAGAGCAGCTTGATTTTCACTGGCCACAGAAGGGATCACAGGTGTTGACTCAACTTCAGGTTTAATCATAGTTTCTGTGAGTGTGTCTTCAGATGTCTCCGCCGTTGTCATGTTTTTTAGCGGACTGCTTTCCCCAACTTCCAATGTAGGGCTTTCTGGCGAAGACACCACCACTACAGGTTCCGCTTTGAAAATTTCATCTTGGTTAATTTCTGCCGGGACTGGACTAGATTGGGCAGCAGTTTCTACATTTTCAGCAACTTCTGGAGTCTCAAGTGAAGCCTGCCCCTCAGCCTTAGTCAAATCTTCAACATTTTCTTTAGAAGGTTCAGGTAATGTCTCTGGATCGTCAGTTGTTTGTTTTTGTTCAGACTCAATTATTCCACTAACTGTGCTATCCTCTGCTGGTATTGTATCTATCACAATTTCTTTTTCAGGAATAACAGTCTTCTCCTCAACATCTTTGGCTGTACTTTCAGATTCTGACCCATTTTTAAGCATCTCCTCATTTTCTATAGCCGAATGAACAGGAATCCCATCTGGAGTCTCAACTGAGGTCTCAACTGTATTGCATACTGTAACTACTTGGGCAAGTTCATTAGTCACATTGTCCTGAGCTGAGTCTGTGGTTGTGGATTTAGTAGGGCAGGGCATTTCAGCATCAACAACCTCTGTAATTTTTGACTCCTGCACAGTTGAGTTTTGGTCCATAGTTGCTTCTTTGGTTTCTGACAATACCTCTTCAATTATGCCTTGACCAGTAACATTGTCTTGGTTAATGGTACTGTCAACATTTGTGCTTGTGTCTCCATTAGGCAGACTCACAGATGGAACTTCTGTGTCAGCTGGTGAAACAGCTGTGATGTCTAATGCTTTTTGTTCTTCAGCATTTGTGGTCCCAGGCTCTACAGTATCAGGAGTTGCTGTTAGATCTATGTTATATTCAGGTACATCAGTTACAATAGCAGGGATCTCTGGTCCTTTTGGTACTTCAGTTACCTCCTCACTAGCTGTCACTGGTTCAACTTCGTTTTGAGTATTAATTTCACCATTTACAGTCTCTACAACATCCTCTTTTGTGGACTGAGTTTCATTTGGTTCTGCGTTCTCTTGTGGTACATCTGTTACAGTAACTGGGATCTCTGGTCCTTTTGGTACTTCAGTTACCTCCTCACTAGCTTTCACTGGTTCAACTTCGTTTTGAGTATTAATTTCACCATTTACAGTCTCTACAACATCCTCTTTTGTGGACTGAGTTTCGTTTGGTTCTGCGTTCTCTTGTGATACAACGGTTACACTAGCAGGGATCTCTGGTTCTTTTGGTACTTCAGAAGAACCAGCAGCTTGGTCAGTAGTTATCGCTGAGTTCACATTATTTTGAGCAGTGATAATTTCAAGACTTTCCGTTCCAGATACGTGTTGTGTGGATAGTAATGGAGTTTCTTTGCTTTCTACATTGTCTTGAGGTGTATCTGCATCTGATGGAATAGCAGAGACGTCAGCCTCCTCACTAGCTGGTTCCACATCAGCCTCTGTACTTCCAGATTCCTCTATTGTTAAGTCTTGGGGTACAACAGTTTCAATAGCAGGGATCTCTGGTTGTTTTGAAACTTCAACAGCCTCTTCTTTCACTGGGTCAACATCATTTTCAACATTAACTTCAGTACTTTTGCTTACACTCTCTATAATTTCCTCCTTTGTTTCTGTGTTGTCTTGAGGTACATCTGATGAAACAGCAGAGACGTCTTTTGGGACTTCTGTTGCTTCCTCACTACCTTCCCCTTTGGCTGGATCTGCATTATTTTGGAGAAGAGTAACTTCAGTAGTTGTTTCAGACACAACAATATTTTCACTTGTAGGAGATGATTGGGTTTCAGTAGATGCAATGCTGTCTTGAGGTAAATCAGTCACTTCTACAGTCTCATCAAAAGTTTGCTCTATCACTGGTTTATCAATATGTAAAGTATCTAATGTATTTTGCTCAGCTGCTGTTTCAGAGCTTGAGTCAATATTTAGTATTGGCTCCACTAAAGTCTCTGACAATATATCTAAGACCTTTTGATCTGCTGCTATTTCAGAGGTTGGTTTAATATTTAGTATTGGTTCCACTAAAGATTCTGACAAAATATCTAATTCAGTTGCTTTAGGGACCTCATTGCTATTCTCTGGAGGAGGTAGAGATTTGAAGGCTGATTCGGCCAGTATGTCTGGTACTGTGCAGGCTACAGGCTCCTCTATAAATGTTGTATCATTTACATTAATTTTTTCAACTTTTGTGGAAACTTCTGCAGAATCATTTGATTTGGGAAGCTCAGCCTGATTTTTCTCCTCTATAGTTGTTGATGATGCAGTTGGTTCAGGTGATACAGGCTCGGAATGCTTCCCATTTTGTAATCCATTTTCGGTGTCAGACCTGTTAAGAGAGAAAAAAGTAATAAAAATGGCTATTAAGAAATTGTGTGTATTTACAGACTATATTTGGGAAAACAAAATCAAAACAAACAAACAAAAAACAAATAAAAAACAACTTACTGTTTAAGGCTGGCCACTTCGGTTGGTGACAGTGGTGGACTCGTTGCTGATCTAGTGGGAGAAAATAACAAAAAAAATTTTATTTATATATATATATATATATATATATATATATATATATATATATATATATATATATATATATATATATATATATATATATATATTCTATATCTATATATATTATTTATTTTACAGTTCTTTGTTATAGTAATGAAAACCTAAAAAAAAGTCAAGTGCATTTTTATTCATTCATAAATGAATGTATTATCTATCGATGAATTTAAATTTTAATGATATAAATTTGGAGTTTTGCTATAATGTGATTTTTTTTCTTGGACGACCTTACTGTGGTTGGTTGTTCCGTCGATAAAAGTCGTGACTCTCATCTTCAATTTTGTACGCGTAAGTTGTGACCGCACGTAAGCGCATCATGATCTAACATTGAACTTTTATGTTCCCTCATCCCAACATGTAAATGCTGACGACACACAGCCATGTTTGTTATATCAAGTTTATTCACCCAGTTGTGTGTAATAATAATAATAATAATAAAAAAAATAATAAAAAAAAAAGATCTAACATTGAACTTTTATTTTGAAGGGAACCAACCTAGACTCCATGTTGGTTCTGCTACTTCCTGTCAAAACATCCACGCTTCACGCGGCTTCATGCTGCAACAGCATGAGTTTTTTATTCGACTATGCTGTAGGAAGCTAAATGGATCTTATTAAGCAAAACAACTATTTAAGAAATCCCGTTAAGTGAATACTCTTCTGTAAATGGGCTCAAGAAGAAGGATCAGTTGACACCTTGGAACATTGTGAGTCTTGTGTTGCACACAGTTTTTATAAGAGCAATTCATCAAGAAAGTTTGGTTATCCCGGTTAAAACAACAGATGATGAGATAACTCGGGCACACCAGTTTTTTTCATCGGCGATATGACCAAAAAACTTTATATCTACAAAAGTATAATTGGTATGGTCACTAGGTTGTTTTTTTTTTATATAACATCATAAATCTGGAGTGCGGTGTAGGTTCACATGTATCATAATACATAATACAATTACATATAATACGAGTTTCTATCAGTTTCCACAGTTTCTGTAGCTCATTCTAAATACATACACATTCATTATTAATGTTTAATTCTTCTCTGTCACCCCAGACAAAATCATGCCGTCCAGAAACCATTTGGACAAAATTGGTAGAACAAAGAAGAAGAGATGGACGGAGGAGGCTATGGAGCATGCACTGACTGAGGTGAAGTCAGGACGTTGTACGGTAAGGCAGGCTGCGAAGGAGTTTGGAGTCCCCAAGTCTTCACTCGGGGACAGAGTGAGCGGGCGCGTGACCCCAGGGAGCCGTAGTGGTCCTGCTCAGCTTATAACATCTGCTGATGAGGAGCTGCTGGTGGAGTTCTCCTTGTACATGGCCCGCCATGGATTCCCACTCACCAAGCAACAGCTGGTGTCTTTCGCTTCATCGATTTATAGGCGGCAGCACCGGAGGGTGGCCTTCTCCAAATTAGGCCAAACCTGGTGGCTTAACTTCAGAAAACGACAAGAGAAGAATCTAAGCATTCAGCCAGCCGAGAGTGTGGTCCGTGGGAGGACAATGTGTGTGAGGAAAGAGGCAGTAGATCACTTTTACCATTTACTGAGCTCTGTGGTGACCTCTCACGGACTAATGGACAAACCACATCAAATCTTTAACTGTAGTGAGATGGGTTTTGAGCTGGGCAGGAAAAGGCTGTCTCTCCCTAAATCCAGCCTGGGATATAAGCCAATGCCTGGCTCCAGGGACCACATTTCTGTCCTGGTTTGTTTTAGCGCAGCTGGAGAGGACGTCCCACCATTTGTTATCTACTCAAAGGCCTATCCCAGTGGTGTCTGCTATAAAAGCCAGGGACCTCCTGGTGCCCTCTATGGATGGTCAGAATCAGGCTGCGTCAGCACTGAACTCTTCAGGAGATGGTTTCTCAAACACTTCCTTGTTCAGGGGCCAAAGGAGCGTCCTTTGGTACTGGTTTTTGATGGACACAAGTCTCCCGTGAGTCTGGAAGTGGTCGAAGTGGCTCGTAAAGAGGGAGTCATACTGCTGTGCCTCCCCCCTCACTGCTCTCACATCCTGCAGCCACTTGACGTGGGACTCTTTGTGCTACTGAAGCAGCGCTTTGCTGCTCTCCTGGGCAACTCTAATACAACTGATATTAATTTTAATGTTAGTAAAAAGGAATTCTCATGTGTTTTTAAAAGCACATATCAGATCGCCAAGGAGGAGGATGGGATCAGGATTGTAAAGGAAGGTTTTCAAAGCTGTGGACTTTACCCTCTTCCTTGCCACTATGCAGTCAGAGAGAACCCTGAATTGTCAGGCCACAACTTGGTAACTGAATGTGACGTCTTGTCTGTGTCTCCACATGAAGAGGTGGTAGGGGACATCACAGAGGCTGGGTCCCCCTCTTAGCTCCTCACCACTCTCTCCATTAACTGTGTAATTTGATAAAAGCCAAGCTGAATGAACAGAGCGAGTTGATTTACTTTGAAATAGTGAATGGGTTTACACTCCTACTTGTGTATGTATCCCACATCCCCAGCCTCCCCTGCAGCATGTTCTGTTTGTCAGCTGGCCAGAGAGGCGACTGTGTTAATATTAATTGCATGCCAACACAGCTTTGTATTAGTAAACAAGGCTGTACTATTCATTTAAATGCAGTTACTACTGGGCTTTGGCTTCAAAAACCCAGTATCATTGAAGAGGATTAATAAAGGATTTACCTTTTTTCTCCACATCGTTATTTATCCTTACTGGGTAAACTTAAGTGACCTTCTCTGCCAAAGCTTGAGTTTAGGAATCCTTATGCTGTTTGGCAATATTCTCACATCGACACAATAATCAATAAAGTCTAACAGCACATCTGTCCCTTGTCTTATTTTAAAACAACAGTCAGCCGCCAGCCATGTTATATTTTATGGTGAGTAATAATTTGAAAGATATTTTGACAACCACAGCAAAACATTTACATTTTAGAAGTAGCTACCTGAACAACATATGGCAAAGAAATTACCCATAGCCATAGAGTTTAGCATTGAATACATTATAGAAGTTTTTTGTTAGAAAGACGCAAATTATGTTCTATAATAATTTCATTAGACAAAGTATATATTTGTTTTTAACTGTTCTTCAAATTCTCTGTTGACAAAGACTAAATGGGTGTGGAATTTGCTAAAACCTATGCTAAAAACTAACGCTATCAACGGACTATCTTAGTATCTATCTATTTACTATAATAACACCATTTGACAATACATGCAGCACATGATCATATATTGCACATGATTAGCACTATTTTTAAGAACCAAATGCATTTTAACAACAGTAATTCTACCTACCTCTTCAAACCTAATATGAAATACACCAATTTTAATCATCACAAACAGCATACAGTATATGTCAAATGTATTGAATAAACAAGTTATGTTTCTTAAAACAAGCAACACAATTGTTCCACTGTCAAAAATGATTTAGTAAAGGATACCAAAAAATATCAATATATATTGAGCAGCCCCCTATAATGATACAGTATGTCCAAATTTATTATGATATATTGATAAATCGACCCAACCCAACACATAGGAGCAGGCTTCTATATGACTAAGTAGTATCTCTCCAGGTACTTTGAATACCTAAGGTGCGGGTAAAACTTGAATTATTTCAGAGGTTGAGCTGAGGGCCCATGTAGGCACCTCAGCACAGAGCTGCACAATATATCATAACTGAATCAAAATCACAAATTGAATTTATACAATTATCAAATCACAAAGGCTGAAGTTATTTAGATAATAGAATCCCCTCTGCAAAGAGCAAATATACTGTCTTTTTATAGTGGAATCTTGTTGTATCTGTAGTTGAGACCTCTACAAACATGTTGGATTAGGATTACACCTTTACAATGTGCACCTGAACAGAATCCTACTTTTTTAACTGCAAATCTAATTGCAATTACTTGTCAGTATTAGATTGCTTTCCAAAATCTCTCTCGCTCCCTTTACCCCTGTTGTCCTTTCCTTTTTTAATATCTGTTAGTGTTTGCGTGAATAAAATAATTTGCTATTTTGCTGCTCAAATGTGTAATAATGAATAATTTACTATGTGTGTTTCTGTACCATGCACTTCTCAAAGTCTGTGATGTAATACCGGTGTAACAACCCCCCAAGTGAGAAAATTACTGTAGGTCTTGATAAAAGAAAACTTGTTAATATTTACACGGTAATTCAAATGGTTTTCTTTCCTTAATCCTACCATTATTGCTGTTTACATTGTTTCAATTAGTTCAAACTGAACAAGTTCTTGGTATTTTAAATTGGAATTCACAGAAGTCCCTTTTGGAAGCAATTACACAGATGCTGAAGAAGCTGCTTGAGGCCCAAGGGAGACATTCAAAGGGTTTGTATTCAGACAGTGGTGCACCTGTTAAAACACAGGTCAGCCCGCAGCACCAAAGGCTTTTAAGAATGCAGCAGAGCCAGCCCAGAATTAACTTAATGTTTATGCACGTATCCACTGCACGGAGGAATTTCTAACTGCAGGAAGTGTACATTTTTTAGTAACTCACAACATAGAAGTGTGTGACAGGCTGCTTATGACTCTCTGTTGACTCTTTGATAGATGTTTTTGTAACTGGTTTATCTTCATTTTAGGTAGGGAAAAATGTTAACTACATGAACTACAAAAGTACAGGGACAATTCTACATGAATTATAGATGTGTTTACATGGGTTTTGAGCATTTACTAGACAATACTGCAATTATTGCCAAAATAGGACCATCTTGGAATTACAAGAAAGACATTTTAAAAACTTCACTTTTTTATTTGTATTTATTGTTTGCTTAAAGTACATCCAAGCTTGTAATGGGATGATTTTTCTGATAATTATTTTTTCTTTTCTTGTGCAAAAATGTTTTGGATGCGGGGGACTATTACATTGTTTATGTTATTACTCTAAAGTTGTTCTAAAATCTTTCATGAATTTGTGAATCTACAACCTCAGAGTTTCAATGGCAATATTTCTTTTTTTTTTCAGGGGCACTTACTCAAACTTCTTGGCTGTCATCAACACGTAGGAGAGCTGTCTCCGCATAGGCGATGTACCTTCCTCCACAGGCACTGTGCTGTAAACACCATTGAATATGTATAAGTGCGTTGCTCAAAGGCAAACAGGATATACCGGGGTAGATACTTGTCATTTTCAAGTGTTGGATCTTAATCACAGACCTCTCTTTTGTGCTGCTGTCTTGTTCTGCTGCTTTCTTCGTTTTCTGGATCCAGCTCAGATCACTTTTGATTGATGTTCGTACCTTGGTGGTTTGAAGCACCTTCTCTCTGTCAACGTCTGTATTTATAGTGTTTTAATCAGCACACATATCTGAACTGGTGATGACAATTAATATATTTCAAATTTACTTCACCTTGTGACATGATGCACTCTTTAAATATGGCCTTTGTGAAAGTATCAAAGAGAAAAATTAATGTGATTTAGCTAGAAATAGTATGCATTTTTATTTAGTCTCTTTCCTCCACAGTAGTTCCCTCATTGCTAGTTACTTCAAACCTGTTACGTAACATTTTATAATTTACTGCTGCAAATACTGCACATTCAACAACCTGTTTCTATTGGCACACTCTGATAATATATAATACATAAATATTTCCATCGCCACTTCCTATTAATTATGAACTAGATCCACATGTGCCTACCATAGTGTTGTGAACTTGTTACATAATTAAATGCATTAATACAAACTGAAGAGTTTCACATGTCTTTGTAGTTTAACAATGTCTTTTCCATTAGCAGATGTCTTCTTCTACCTCCAGAGTTATGATCAAAGCAGAATGTTTACTTATACATGACCATCATTTTTGTATTCTGCATGTGGCTTTTAACATTCTGACCCGCACTTAGCATATTAATCTTGTATTATTAATCTTTCTGAAACTTTGCCAGCTCCAATTAACCGGGTCACATTCATTATGCTTAGTAGATAAAAGCCATTCCAGCTCGGTAATGAGCCCCCAGCTTGCATAGCAGATGAACATTCAATCTAAGGAGCATTGTGAAATCTGCACAATTGTGTTCTCACCTGTAGTCAGCTGTTTTAGCACTGTCAGGTGTGGCAGGTCCTCACAGTCCCCTCTGCAGCTCTGAAATAGCCAAGATTGGATGCATGTTTTGTGTCTTTAACCAAAAATCCTCCTCCACCTCCTCCTCTCCTGTCAGCTTCCTCCCTGTTAGGTGTGAAGCACCTGGATGTCGCTGTGCAGGTTCATCGAGTGGGTGGGTGTCCTGTTCACAGCGACGCAGTGGGCAGACAGGTGCCACTGATACATAGTTTAATGCTGCCTTAAGTGTGAAATGACACATTCAGAAGTTGGATTTCAGCCAAAATCTGCTTTTTGGACAAATTAGTTCCTCTACGGCTCTATATTGTGTGACAACATTTCACTGTTCAGACCTGCATTGTACTTACTGTTCTATGTAACAATCTGATTTATTTATTTTTTGCCACTGTGAAAGAAACGTGTCTCAGCACCAAAAAGGCTATTTTGAGGGATGGTAGTACACAAATGAAAAAGCCAGTCAGAATTTATAGCATGTAATTTGTCCTGTTATCCATCACAAGTACTTTCTTATGATGGACTTCACTGTGTACAATTTATATAATTATATAATTAATAATATGTTGTTGATAGACTAAACAACACAGTTTAAATGTGCACTTTGTGTATCTAAATTTTCTTTTGATCCACTACTACTACTTGTCACAGTTTTGCTAGTTTTGCCAGTAATGTACCTCTCCATGTTATGGCATTACATTGATATATCTTGAATTTGTTTGTTTTTATTACTATAAACAAGACTTTAATAAACATATATTCTAACTGTATGTGTGTCTCCCTGGAGATATAATATAGTTAATGCCATACCATGGAACTTTTTTTTTTTTTTTTTTTGCCAAACTCATAACATACCCTGGTTGGACCCTCCACCAGTAAAGTAGTACACTTTTAACATAAATGTAATCTTTAGGATACATTATATTAATTAAATATGAGAACAAAAAAGTACAAAGATAGGCCCACACCTTTGTAATTGTTGCAGCATTATAATGGTTTCTTAGAATTAAGAAAATAGTTACTCTGTGATACAGTCTAGACTCTAAACTGTCCCTGCATTACTGCAAGTCAAGCTATAAGCACATACGAACACAATGGCGATGCGTTTGTGCTCACTAGGAATGAAGAATGTGAACAGCCCTATAGATCAAGTGTTGTACTCACAGAGTGACAGGACTGTATAATTGACATATCTCTCCTTGTCTTCAGAATGTGAAATATGCGTGCCTTAAAGAAATGTAAACATCGGGGAGAACACAATGTATCATAAGATAAGACGTGCAGGTCATGTATGCTTCTCTAACAACTGGTACCTAAATATTAACATTACATCGGGTGTCAGTAGAGGGGTCAGTAGACATGGATCACTGCATTCATAGACTAGAAGCTTAATTAATTTCCACACCCTGGCTGCAATAGGCCAAACTAATGAATTTGATCGGAAGAGCAAATTATGTCCGCCGTTGTATGGTATAAAACATATAGGAGGTTTAAAATTGTGCTGTATATTGCCCCCTATCGTATTTATCAAGGAGCTACATCCTGAGCTCCTCTTGTAGGAAGTGACGTTCATGTTTTAGCTACTTTTCCGGTTGTCGTGTAGGAGCAGTCGGTATGTCTTCAAACTCTTTAATAATAGCAATATTCTATGTTTTATTTAGCCTAAAATACCCTTATAACTTGTCAACGCTAACTTAAAGCATACGTCTTTTCTTTCTATTAAGGCTTGTGGTGATTTTCTCACACAGGCACTTACATTGTACGCGCTAGTTAGCAAGCTACCTTGTTAGCCTTTTTGTCTTTATTTTATCTTTCCTAATATAAAAATACTTAGAATAATACATTACATGTTTTGGCTTATGTATTGTTGTTGTTAAAGCGTCATTGCAGTCAACTGTAAATTGTTTGAAAAGATCGTATGCTTATAATATCAGCCATTAACAAATTCTGTAGTATTAAATTAGATTTACTAGATTAAGCTAATGCACAATAGTTTGTTTGGATTGTAAAATTAATTCAATATTCAATTTATAAGTTGTTCTTGTGTTACGTTTTAATTATTTAAGTTGTACTGCATACTGCCAACAGTATAATATACAATACTTGAAATAGTTTGGGTATTCATTCTGCGTGTTGATGTACTTTAGAGCCATCCACGATGACTACAGCTGCTAGGCCTACGTTTGAGCCAGCCCGAGGTGGTAGGGGTAAAGGAGAGGGGGACTTAAGTGCTCTGTCTAAACAATATTCCAGCAGAGACCTACCAGGGCATACAAAGATCAAATACAGGTTTGTTGGGGGACTATGGCACCTTTTCTTCCCACTAACACTTTAAACGCATAATCTGAATTTTTATTTTTTTTTTACAGACAACCGACTCAGGATGCCCCAGAGGAGGTCCGTGCCCGTGACTTCCGCAGGGAGCTGGAAGAGAGAGAGCGTGTGGCTGCACGGGAGAAAACCAGGGAGAGAGGACCAAGGGGTTAGACTCTCCTCTTCAACTAAAGTGAGGTCATAAATTGTAGTAACAATTCATTCACTGACTTTTATTACTACACTTCTCAGAACACACAACTTCATCATCATCTTCATCATCTTCCAAGCGACTGAGATTGGATCAAATCCCCGCAGCTAACCTTGACGCTGATGACCCTCTCACTGATGTAAGGCTCTTTCGTGTATTCATAGTGTCTTCATTTACAGTGATCACATTTTTTATTTATTTATTCTTGTTACTTGCTTTAGGATGAGGAAGATGAGGACTCTGATGAAGACAGTGATGATGATGACACTGCTGCACTTTTGGCTGAGTTGGAGAAGATTAAGAAAGAGCGTGCTGAAGAGCAGGAACGCAAGGTGAGGCAACCTTTCAGTTCAAGCAATATTATATTATTTCTCATATTAAAAAAACAACAAAGCCGTATTAGCACTTACACATTTAGACAGTTAGAGGTATACACTGTCACATTTCCCAGCCATCACTTCATCCTGTTACATCTAACCTTTCCGACCTCTCAGTTCAGATTATTTGCCATTTGCAGTTAAACAACCACATTGGAAAAAGGGTGTGAGAAGCCTAGAGTGCAAAGCCATTAAGACAGACAAACTAAAACATATAAAAACAAAACTCACATAATATAAACAAGAGTCAAAGATGTGCATTATTAATACGTAATTTAGCCAATGACATAAAGTGCCTGTTGCAGTTTTAAAATGCATCATTTAAAGTGATCACTGCCTGTGGAAAGGAACTTAATTTTCATCTTTCATTGTCTATTATTCTCTCATTTTCTAGTTAAGATTTTTAATGGATTTAAATGTTTTATTTGTAGGAGCGTGAGCAAAAGGCTGAAGAGGAGAGGATCCGAATGGAGAACATCTTGAGTGGGAATCCATTGATTAATTTAGCAGGACAGCAACAACAACAACAGACCAGCCAGACCCAGAGCTCATTCAAAGTTAAAAGGAGGTAAAATATCCTGCCCTAATGTGCAAATGGTAAATATAATATTTCTTACAATGTGGATATATCTTTCAGGTGGGATGATGATGTTGTTTTCAAGAACTGCGCCAAAGGAGTGGACGAGGCTCGGAAAGAGAAACGATTTGTCAATGACACCCTTCGTTCTGAGTTTCACAAAAAATTTATGGAGAAATATGTTAAATAACTTGTTTTTGTTTATTTTGCTTTTAAGGCTTACATAGTGCTGGTTTGTTGTAAATATGTGTTAAATACAATTGTCCTTTTTCCATTTGTAAAACATCAAATAAACATTAATTCATGTTTAAAGGTGTTGAATATACTTTTTTCTTTAAAATTTATCTTGCATTCATATCAAGAATATGTCTAGATTTATATTTTTGTATTTTGGTTTGATCATATTTATTTTTAATTGTAGTAATTTTAAAGTGAGTAAAGTCTTGATTTAGATTAGATGATTTTGCTGTTTACATGTCTTTTGATTAGCTTTATAACTTATAACTATAAAAAAAATCTACAATGAGATTTAGAGTGCATGTAACTGCAGCCAATGTTTTTCCAATGCCCTCGCAGTAACGTGCTGCATGTCGGCAATCAGGATGTTTACAAACTGTCTAACACAGTCATTTAAACGAAAAGTCACAATCTAAAATGTGTTTTTAGACTACTTCGCACTCATAACGGACAGAACCGTAGTAAAACAAAATGCGCAATCCAGGTTAACGGTGTCGAAGTGGTCAGTAGAGGGCGCCATGCTGAACAATCACTCCCTTGTCTGAGGGATTGGGAGGTTGCTGGGAAAAGATGGCAGCTCCCTTTTGTTTGTGCGGATTTGTTTACTTCAAGAAGGGCTTTAACTAGACTTATCTGCGTTTACGCCTCTCTATATATCGTGTTAAAGCCTCCATGATTATTGGACTAACTTTTAAACCACAAAAACATGGAGAAAAGTGGGAGTATTGACAGTTTGGGCTCGAGGCGCTCCTCTTCACGTCAGCCCAGCGTTGATTCATTATCTAGGTAAATATAACTCCACCAGAACTCCACTCAGTGCACTATATACGAGTGTCTTGAAACTTAAAAAGAAAACCTTGAGAACAATGTCATTACTGCATTATTTTGTGAGAAAATTGACTAGCACTGAGCAAGGTGATAATTGTAATGTGGTGATGGTAACAGACTGTTTATTATTGTGACTAAAGGTTTCAACAACACCACTGAAAACATAACAATGGCAATCTAACTGTCTACTTTTTCCACAAAGGTTTTATTAGTATAATTATTATAGTATTATATTATAATTTGCCTTTAGTTCTTCTACGTCCCGCTCTGATCGTTCTGCCCACGTAAAGCCCACCTCGTCTGAGTCCACATCCACCGAGTTTTCCCCAGAGCTCAGGGTGAGTTGCCTATCAGTACAAATCATCTATTTGCAATAAGCAATAGAGCCTAAATGTCCCCATTTTGTTTGTGTGACCTAGGTGAAACCCAAAGCTACAAAGGTTGGGATACCACAATGATTACAGTTCACTAGAGGTAATAAACTACTTTGTGCGTATTCATTTTTTTATGTTTCTGATCCTTTTAGCACATCCCAAGAGAGTCAGACAAACAGGAGCCACAGCTTCTTCCAAATGAAACCGTTCAAGACGTGGGTAAGTTTTTTTTCTGTATTTCTAAATTGAGTGTTTAATTACTGTTTCTAAAACAAGTTCTTTTGTAGCAAAAGATGTCACCTACTTCTGCCCATTCATTGGAGCCATAAGGGGAACCGTGATGGTCACCAACTACAGATTGTTCTTTAAGTGCATGGACAGAGTGCGTTTGTTTTCTTGTAATTATTTACCACAGTTTACATGTGATGGTATTTTGGCTTATACTGGAGACATTTTCCAGGAACCTGCATTTGTGTTGGACCTGCCTCTGGGTGTAGTGAGTCGAGTGGAGAAGATTGGTAATGCCTCAACCCGTGGGGATGTTTCATATGGGATTGTATGCAAGGTGTGATTACAGTAGAGAAAATAGTATTTTTAGAAACAAGTATAGAGCATATAGTAAGTCACTGTTATTTTGCCTTTTCAATGTGTCTCTAATGGGTTTCTGCCCATATCTTCCTGTGTAGGATATGCGTAATCTCCGATTTGCACACAAGCAGATGGATGACACTCTCAGGAAGTCAGTTTTTGAGGTGCTGATGAAATTTGCGTTTCCTGTTTCCAATGGAGTAGTAAGTGTTTTCAGCCACACTGGCTACTACTTCTACATATGTTTTCCAAACAGGAGTTAAAGATTGTTTCTCCTGGTTTTGACAGCAAATATTTGCTCTTCAATATCGACAAGTGTTTCCTGAAAATGGATGGAAGGTGTATGATGCTCTTGCTGAGTATAAAAGACAGGTGCACTGAATTACTCACTTTACAGTTAATATTTATATCTATTTAACATTCCTATTTATTGACCTTGCCATGTGCATGTAGGGTATTCCTAATGAAAGCTGGAGAATAACAAAAGTAAATGACCACTATGAACTCTGCGACACCTATCCATCAACACTAGCAGTGCCTGTCAACATGCCAGATGAGGAACTGAAAAGGGTAGCAGCCTTCAGGGCTAAAGGAAGAATTCCTGTGAGTAACAAAGTAGGAGATGTACTTTTGTTTTATGTCTTTGTCAGTCATGTAAAAACAGTGTTACATAATCTTTGTGTAGGTTTTGTCTTGGATTCATCCAGAGAGTCAGGCTACAATCACACGTTGCAGTCAGCCTATGGTTGGTGTGAATGGCAAACGCAGTAAAGAAGATGAGAAGTATCTCCAAGCCATAATGGATGCGAATGCCCAGTCTCATAAGCTCTTCATTTTTGATGCCCGGCCCAGTGTCAACGCTGCTGCCAACAAGGTTTGTATATTCAACTGGCAAAATGATTAGATCTTATTGATTTGCCATTTCAATATATTGAATATAAACACCAGTCACTTGAGATTTATCTAACTGCCAGTATTTTCCTCCAGATGAAAGGTGGAGGATATGAAAGTGAGGATGCTTACCAGAACGCTGAACTTGTCTTTTTAGACATTCACAATATTCACGTTATGAGAGAGTCCCTTCGTAAACTTAAGGACGTGGTTTATCCGAACATTGAGGACTCCCACTGGCTTTCCAATCTGGAGTCTACTCACTGGCTTGAACACATCAAGGTAATACATAACCCACAGAACTTAGTCATTCTTATACTTCCAACTTATTATTATTGTACCTTTAGCTAATAATGGCAGGAGCATTGCGAATAGCTGATAAAGTTGAATCTGGAAAAACGTCAGTAGTGGTTCACTGTAGCGATGGATGGGACCGCACAGGTCAACTCACATCTTTGGCCATGCTGATGCTTGATGGCTATTATCGCACTATCCGTGGTTTTGAGGTGCTGCTTGAAAAAGAGTGGCTCAGCTTTGGTCATCGTTTTCAGACGGTAAATCCTTTTTTGGAAATTCTGATTTTATCACTTCATCCAATTCACATATTACTGTTGATAATTTCCTTTTAGCGCATTGGTCATGGAGATAAAAACCACACTGATGCCGACCGCTCACCTGTTTTTATCCAGTTTATTGACTGTGTTTGGCAGCTGACTCGACAGGTAAGCTTATTTAAATTTAATACCGTGTTAAGAATGACCCTTATACAATTTTATGTTACTAAATACATTTTTTTAGTTTCCTGCAGCTTTTGAGTATAATGAATATTTCCTGGTGACTATCTTGGATCATCTGTATAGCTGTCTTTTTGGTACATTTTTGTGCAACAGTGAACAACAGAGAATGAAGGAAGTGAGTTTATTGTGTGTTTTTTACTCAAACTCAAGTACTCAAGTAATTATTGATTTTTATTTGACAGGAGATTCCTAAGAGAACTGTGTCCTTGTGGTCATATGTAAACAGCCAACTGGATGATTTCACTAATCCACTTTATGTGAACTACTCCAATCATGTGTTGTTCCCTGTTGTCAGCCTGCGCCACCTAGAGCTTTGGGTTGGTTACTACATCCGTTGGAATCCTCGGATGAGACCTCAGGTATGTCTGGGCAAATATTAACTGTACTCTAAAGAAATCAAACCTTAATTTTCTTTCCAGGAACCGGTCCATCAGCGCTACAAGGAGCTGTTGGTAAAGCGTGCTGAACTGCAGAGGCGGGTTGAGGAGCTTCAACGTGAAGTGACCAATCGTTCTGCTTCATCCTCCGAACGAGCTGGGTCTCCCACACGCTCCATCACACCTGTGCAGACTTTTGTTTGACAGCACGTGATCCTCAGGACTGGGTTTAATTCTAAATGTAGAAAGTGCTGCAATAACAAGTTGCATTACACCACATGTGGCATTGCATTAGTTAAACATGAGTTTACAACAGGATTAACCATGTCTCAGAGCCATATTGCACGTGGTGATACAACTGCATCTAATAAGATTTTAACCAGTATTAGTTTTTGAAAAATTATTATATATTGAATTGTATAACAGTAGATGCCTTATTGCATTCCTCTAAATTGCTAATAGGTGTTATTTATAAGTCAAAGCAAATTAATTTGCTCATTTCCACAGCATTTACAGTAACATGTTTTAGATTAAAGATTAAGGTGATATAGGCATTGTGTAAGATCTAATGGATATCATAAGATGTAGTCAAGTGACCAAATACAGTGTGCCTAGTTTCAGACAGGACATTCAGTTTTGTTTTATTTTTTTGTAGAGGCCTTTTCATAGTGATGCTAGTTGCCCTCTGGCTGTTTATAGCATTCAAACTACATCTGCAAAGAATGTAATTTCTACCTTCTGTTTTTTTTTAAGTTATAGCTTCTGTTTGTTTTTAACTATGCAACAGTGCAAGTGTCTTTACAAGAAATTAGTAAATAGTCTACTGAATGTAGATTAGCAGTGCCTTAAATGCTAAATTAAAAAAAAAATACTGAAACCTCCTATTGACTGTTTCTATGTCAAATGTAACGGTAAACCAAAGACATGAAAAAGCAAATGTGTATGGTACCAACCACTTTATTAAAGTTTGAAGTTGAAGAGGTCCAAATTTGTTGTGTTATAAACGGGCTGCTGAACACCATTATTTCATAACTAACTTTAAACAAAGTTAGTTTAAAGGTCGTATCATTGTGTGATACTTTGTTGTGCATCTCATCTGCAGGGATGGATCTCTCTATATAAGTATTCAGTCTTTCGTTAACAGTTTTGTTTACAAACATTTCTCTGAAAATCACGGCTTTGATTGGCCTGCCAGATTTAAAACCGAAAATCCCGCGTAGATGTGCAGTATCGCGATGAATTTTGTTCTAATGGAGAGCGTCGGCAACTTCCGGTTACATGACGACGACGCCGATACAAAAAGAAGGAAAACAGGAAAATACCATTCTTGGCGAGAATAGTTAAAACTAAACTCTAATCTGAGCTACCTGTATTGTTTATCATCGGATGACAGTAAATATGCCGTACATGCATAGTTGGTTCTGTCGTGCAGCGTAAAATGCCGTAGAGGTCATAGATATTTGGAGTTTATTGTTCTTCCGCTGCTCAGCTATTTATGTCCAGCTCTCGACGCTTAGCCATCAGAGCTAACGCCAGCTAACGTTAGCCTTGGATGCCACCAATGTTTTAGTTCTTGATTAGCAAAGACCGGGAAGGAAAACAGCGTTGATAATCTGTTCAGTTTTCCGCTGGACGCTAGGCCATTTTAGCTCAGTGACATCAGTTTGAGAGGATGGCTACGTCGGCGCTGTACGCCTGTACGAAGTGTAACCAGCGGTACCCCTTTGAGGAGCTATCGCAAGGCCAGCAGCTCTGCAAGGTCTGACACTGATGTATTCTGTGTCTTGAGCTTTTTGATTATAAAAGTAAAAATGTATGTCACGCCGATATCGATTTTGTTGTTCCCTAATATTTGTGATTTGGGTGGGTTTTCCGTGCTGCTATTATGTAACACTAATAGCAGCGATGTTCTGCAAACTGCCTTCTAATAGTCAACAGAGTATCACTGGCTTCAGTATCTTAATCGGGGCTAATAAACATCTTTACTCCTACTGATACTCTTTGGTCTTTTCAACTTGTTGAAGATGGTGCTGGAAGATTGCTATCTATAGCCTATTGCCCTGTCTAAAGTTATTTATTTATTTTTTGGTTAAAATATCCGTTTAATTTTACATGTGATAAAACAAGTAATTTTGCTTTCACAGGAGTGCCGCATTGCACATCCAATTGTCAAGTGCACATACTGCAGATCAGAGTTTCAACAAGAAAGGTAAGAATTAATGAGTGTACTTAGTTAAATTTGTTTTCATGCTTGCCACTTAAAGCCTTTCTTTTTTTTTTTTTCAGCAAAACAAACACCATCTGCAAGAAGTGTGCACAGAATGTCAAACAATTTGGGACAGTAAGTTTTGGGCGTTTAATAATGACTTATTTCCATTTGTTCTATTAGTTTTGTCATCTGCAGTTTTTGTCATTTATTCTTTTCTCTTTCCAGCCCAAACCCTGCCAGTACTGTAATATTATTGCGGCCTTTATTGGAACCAAGTGTCAGCGATGTACAAACTCAGAGAAGAAATATGGACCACCTCAAACCTGCGAGCAGTGCAAGCAACAATGTGCTTTTGATCGCAAAGAAGAAGGCAGAAGAAAGGTACTTGATTCAACTCTAAATGTAATGGATACGGTAATTAACTTGTGGCTCTTATATGTTAAAGGTGGATGGTAAGCTGCTCTGCTGGCTGTGTACTCTGTCCTACCGACGTGTCCTACAGAAGACAAAGGAGCAAAGGAAAGGTTTTGGCTCAAATTCTTCTTCCCTCAATGAGAAAGACCACCACTCCAGATCACATCATCATCACCACCATCACCACCATCACCAACACAGACACAGCAGCTCTCACCACAAGTATGTCTTTAGTTTTCACCCTAAGCCTTTACTACATTGTGTATATAGCTCACTAAATGTGCACTTTTCCTATTCAGACTGAGTGGGAGTCTGAGTCCTGAACAAGAGCAGGGACTGTGGAAGCAGAGGTAAATTTTAGTTTCCTCACAACAAAGTTTTCTGTCTTGTCATTAAAGCGTTATTGAGAAATTTGCAGATGCTTTTTACTGTCACAACAAGGGGGTGTTGATGTTTTTAGTGCTTTCGTTGTAGCAGTTTCACTCAACAGAAAGAATGTAGTGTACTGTGGTTGCTTATTTGCTGCAGAGCATATCTGGATCATGATTGAGAAATGTCTGACTGTGAGAGTTGATGGTTGGTTGATGGATGATTGGTTTTCTAGAATTATTTTTGTCCTTTGCAGCCATAAATCATCCTCAATCCAAAAAGAGACTCCAAAGAAGAAACCAAAGCTTGAGTTGAAGCCATCTAATGGAGACAGGTAAGTTATATTTCTACATGTGCCATTTAATTGTATTCTCGGTTCATATTACACATTTTTTTATATATCAATAGCAGTTCAATCACTCAGTCCATGGATTCTGGAGGAACAGACAACTTCATCCTCATCAGCCAGCTCAAAGAGGAAGTGATGTCATTGAAAAGGCTTCTACAACAAAGGGATCAGACTATTCTGGAAAAAGACAGAAAGGCAAGGGATCTATGGCAGCTTCACCTGTCAGCAGTCCAAGCAGATTTAACAGTAACAGTTGTCTCAATCTCCTTCTTAAAGCTGACTGAGCTCAAAGCAGACTTTCAGTATCAGGAGTCCAACATGAGAGTCAAGATGAACCAAATGGAGAAATCACACAAAGAGGCAATGGAACAACAACAGGTAATTCAGCATCTAACACAGACCATTGTACATTTTAATCAAGATTTATTAAATGTAAAATTTCTGGTTTCTGTAGGCCAAAAACAGAGAGCTGATGAAGCAGGTAGCAGCCCTTTCAAAAGGAAAGAAGTTTGACCGAACAGGAAGCTCACTTCTGCTGCCCTAACACCTGGTGAGCGGTGGTTAACAGAGATTGCTTTAACAATGAAAGTCCTTTGTTCCCACATTGCTCCCACTTTTATGTTTTCATATGGTAAAACCATGTTGTACATGGTTAATCAATTGTTGAAAAAAGATCAAATGTCAACTTATTTTAGATATTGTATGGTGAGTTTCCCACTGGATTGTGGAATGCAACTTTTGGAGGAGCAGAGGATTGAGCCCTCATTTTTAACACTGCCGGATACCCAGGCCAGAAATGCATGATGTGCATTTGTGGATGGCATTCTGATGACTCCCATGTATCCACTGAAATTTTATGGATGTCAAGCTGACTTATTTATTCATGTATTTCCTAGCTTTTTTATTTCCCAATATGAGAATATCCCACATTTTGGGGAGTTCCTAAATGGTCATTTAGTTATATTTTTTTAACTGGGACATGATTGTGAAAGACAAGTTGTTGTTAACTAAGGATATGTGCAACTTATCTATGTATGCAAATTTGGTTGCCCAGTGAGCTGCTGCTCTACTGTAGAAAACAGTCAACACAAACCAATGGACATTTACAATAACTGTCAGAAAGAACATCTCTGGCTGCCCCTTCTCACTGTGTGACAGCTGTAGTGCATTGCTGTTTCTCTTTAGTGGAACGATTGTCATATTGCATGATTTTACCTACTGCCAGATACCGGTTGGCATTGTGGTCAAGCCTTTTACTTGTTTCCCTTTTTTTTATTTAGTTTTTCTAAAAATGTAAACATATTAATGGGGTCAGCCATTGTGTTAACCTATTACTTGTAATTGTTTTAGTGATTTATTGTGTATGGTAAGGCCAGTTGAAATTAACATGTCTGTAGATAATGCCTTTTAAAGAAGCAAACCTTTCACCCTACATAATTGGGCTGGTTTCATACTGTGGCATCCAGGATCACTTTTGTACTCTTTTTCCAAAACTATTGTTTTACAAACTAATAAAAAACAAACTGGCTTAACTGGCTTTTTATCTTACTTTCAAACTGCAGATGACATACATCAAGCATTTCATAAGCCTTGTGTGCTTATGAAATCTGATATTGAAAATTAAGTAAATGCTAATGTTTCATCCGATTCTTTTCGCGTGCAGTAATTAATAATGCTTGTTTACATGACGTATTTCACACGACGCAATAATTTTATTTATATAATTTTTAAGTATTATTTTAATAGAGCCACGCTCTTAACGCTTACACATCCGGGTCATATGTGATTTCCGGTAGCCATTGAAGCTACATCCTGCAAAATAAAAACACTTAGCATCCGTTGTGGGGAGGAGAGGGAAATTACAGGCGAGTTTATGCGTATATGTTTGGATTAACACAGCAGCTATGTGCACATATAAGTTATTTTCAAGCATTTGTGTCAGGCAGCTTTTTTGCAATTTACAGGGAATTCGTTCATTGACTAATGTAAACGTTTTGCTGGCTAAGTAGCTAGCAATATTTAGCATTTCTTCCAACACTTAAGAATTTCTCTTACATTCACACATTACTCAAAACTTGTTTTCATAAGAGTGCTTATAAATGTGTTTTATGTTTCCTTAGCAAACTTTTCATACATTTCCCTGTTAGCATAGTAAAACTGCAGTGCATGGTATATCTGCTGGCGTAGTTTCCTTGTTGCCAAATACTTTGACTTTCAAGAATGAATTGAATGATTGAAAGTCGTGTTCCAATAAGCACGTTTAATTTCTCTTACTTTCTCAGTTTAATTCAATGACTTCTTCTACAGGATGTCAGATTCAGATAGTGATGAGGACCAGGACCGTCCCTTTTCGATTACAGGCTTCCTGTTTGGAAATATAAATGAAGATGGGCAGCTGGAGGGCGACAGTGTTTTGGACAATGTAAGTTTAATTGTGGTTCTGGCATAAATGTTCGTGTTTGGTTTGCATAATTGTGTTTTTTTTTTTTTTTGCAGGAGTCCAAGAAACATTTGGCTGGCTTGGGCAATCTTGGTCTTGGATCACTTATTACAGAAATAACAGCTAATGAAGAAGACAGCGCAGAGGAAACTAAAGACTCTAGCGTTGTAGATGAGGAAGGTAAGCCTAAAATAATGTCCTCATTTTGAATAAAGTTTGAAATCCAATGTATGATCTTTTCCAATATATTATAATATTTTAGGTTGGGTAAAGAGCACTGAAGATGCGGTTGATTACTCAGACATCAGTGAAGTTGCAGAGGATGAAACTAAAAAGTATCGTCAGGCAATGAGCTCAATGCAACCAAGCAAGAAGCCTGGTAATAAATTAGCGATAACAATATTCATACACAGCTGCAACACATGTTGGTGTAACTATAATAGTTCTAGACTACAATGTGCTTTTGTGTGTAAAGATGATGAAGATGACTATGATGCAGACTGTGAGGATATTGACTCCAAACTTATGCCACCTCCTCCACCACCAAGTCTTCCCACATCTATAAAAAAAGATGAACCTGCTCAAAGTGCAAGTGGTGTGTAATAGGCTGCTTATTTTATTTGTGCATCCAAAAGAATATCATATTATTTACATAATGATTTCAGATGTTTTTAATTAATAAAATGTAATCATATCTTTTGACAGTGGCAGAGGAGGGTGATGGTATTATACTGCCTTCTATTATTGCGCCATCTACTTCTGGGGATAAGATGGATTTCAGTAGCTCTTCAGATTCAGAATCTGAAACTGATCGTCCTTCGCAAAAGTCTGGTTCGGGTGGGGCTCCAGACCGACTCAACCTCCCGCTGGCTGGAATTATGCAGAAAGATGCAGCCAAAGCCTTGCCAAGTGTCACAGAGTTGTTCCCAGAATTTAGACCTGGAAGGGTAAAGCTCTTGACTTTGAGGTTTCATTACATAAATTTCACACTGTAATGATAATGTCTTAAATATCTTGTCAGGTTCTCAGATTCTTACGATTGTTTGGTCCTGGAAAAAACATGCCATCTGTTTGGAGGAGTGCCAGAAGGAAGAAGAAGAGAAAGCACCGAGACCATCAGCCTGGGACCCCACCACCCGAAGGAGAGAGCTCAGAGCAAGGCCAAGAGAAAAAGTCTGGATGGGTCTATGAGTACGCACCACCTCCTCCTCCAGAGCAGTGCCTCTCTGATGATGAGGTAAGTCTGTCTTATGGTAGAGATACAGAATATGATTGCTGCAATTTTTTTCTATAGCAGTAATTACAGCAAATAAATTACAGTTAGCTTTAATGACCGTATATTATGACTTGCATATTAGATACATTTGCTGTAGTTTGGAATAATTCAGTGGCAGTTTCACTGCACTGTTGTCTTTATTGTATTTGGGGGTTTAAACATGTTATCAAACACTACACTTTTTCCTTTTCAGATTACCATGATGGCTCCAGTTGAATCCAAGTTTTCGCAGGCCTGTGGTGATGGAGACAAGGAAACAGAGTCTCGACCAAAAGTAGCAGAGTGGAGATATGGTCCAGCTCAGCTTTGGTATGATATGCTCTGCGTCCCTGAAGATGGGAGCAACTTCAACTATGGTTTCAGACTAAAGGAAGAAACAGACAAGCAGGAAAATGATAACGTGCCTCAGGATGTAGTAGACATGGCAATGGTGGTGTGTAAACCCAATATGTGTTAAGTAATAAATTAGACTTTTTACTTTGGTCTAAATGTTTTCCTGTTTTTGCTCATTGTAGTCTCAAGAAGAGGAAGAATGTGACGAGGGGAGTGACAAAGAGAAGAGAGCCCTTGAGAATGAGTTGTTTTTGATGGTCACTCAGCTGCAGTGGGAAGATGACATTATCTGGAATGGAGAAGATGTGAAACACAAGGGCACAAAGACCCAAAGAGCCAGTTTAGCAGGATGGCTCCCCTCCAGCATGACTCGCAATGCCAATGCTTATAATGCACAACAGGGTGAGCAAAAGTGTATGTACCTGTTTATTTATTATTATTATTTTATAAGACCTTTTTTTAATTGTATTTAAATTCCACAGGTCTTTCAAGAAGTAATTCACAACTTGTCCCACCTCCATTACCGCCTGCACCAAAAACATCAGTAATCTCTGGCTCTAAGCGGGACAAAAATAGTCAGGATAATCAAGGTATGAATTAAATTTTTTCATAATTATTTGCATCTTATGTTTAATTTTTGTAATGTGTAATTTTTGTGTCATTGCTTAATAGCGCCTCATGAAGATGACAATCCATGGTATTCAATTTTCCCCATTGACAATGAGGAGCTGGTGTATGGACGCTGGGAAGACAATATTATCTGGGATGACCAGGAAATGGATCACTATCTCTCTCCACCTGTTCTTACACTTGATCCAAATGATGAGAACATTATTCTAGGTATAGTCATACCTGACAACAGGTAGAAGTTTTGTTAAATATTTATACATGCATGTAATTAATTTGTTTGTGTCCTATAGAAATTCCTGATGAAAAGGAGGAAATCACATCCCACTCGCCTTCAAAAGAAAACAAAAAAGAAACTGCACTCAAGAAAAGTCGAATCCTGCTAGGCAAGACTGGAGTAATAAAAGATGAGCCTCAGCAGGTAAGATTGAAGTTGTGTCTTGGTATAAATGTATTTTTCTAATACTAAGCAGTCTATTGTAAAAGCTTGACTACTTTTATATCTATGTAGAACATGTCCCAGCCTGAGATAAAGGACCCATGGAACCTCTCAAATGATGAGTTTTATTATCCCAAACAACAAGGCCTACGGGGCACCTTTGGAGGAAACATTATTCAGGTGAGTAATTTGTAAAATAATTTTTGTTCTGGTCTGATGTGATAAGCCACAAACTATGTGTAAAATTATGATTCTGAACAGCACTCTATCCCTGCCTTGGAGTTGAGGCAGCCCTTCTTCCCTACGCACATGGGACCTATGAAACTACGTCAATTCCATCGGCCAGCTTTGAAAAAGTACTCTTTTGGTGCTTTGGCTCAACCAGGGCCTCATGCAGTTCAGCCTCTGCTTAAACACATCAAGAAAAAGGCTAAGGTCTACATCTGCACATTTTAGTTTGTTGCGCTGGTGTTGGCATTTATTTATAGACAATATGTTTTGTTTTGCACAGATGAGAGAACAAGAGCGACAGGCATCTGGAGGTGGTGATATGTTTTTCATGCGAACTCCTCAAGATCTTACAGGGAAAGATGGAGATCTGATTTTGGCAGAGTACAGTGAAGAATACCCACCACTGATTATGCAAGTGGGAATGGCCACCAAGATCAAGAACTACTACAAACGCGTGCGTTTCAGATTACTTATCTAGGATACATGTGCTGTTTATACTATTTTAAAATATGAGGGTTTTTTTTGTTTTTTAAATACTGTTATTTACTTCAGAAACCTGGTAAGGACCCAGGAGCACCAGACTGTAAATATGGAGAAACTGTGTACTGCCACACGTCACCCTTCCTTGGATCTCTGCATCCTGGACAGCTGCTGCAGGTTGGTTTATCCACGGGTTAATCACAAGAACATCTTTATATAGATATTAACAGCTATAATTTATATTTTAGGCATTTGAGAACAATCTTTTCCGTGCACCAATTTACCTCCACAAAATGCCAGAGACAGATTTTCTGGTTTTACGAACACGACACGGATACTACATCAGAGAGCTGGTGGATATCTTTGTAGTTGGTCAGGAGTGTCCACTGTCTGAAGTCCCAGGACCCAACTCCAAAAGAGCCAATACCCACATCAGGGACTTCCTACAGGTGAGGGGTTGCAATCCACAGTGAATGAACTTAAATCTCCTGTCTTCACCTCCCTGCTTTAATATTGCTGTTGTGTGTAGGTATTTATTTACAGGCTGTTCTGGAAGAGTAAGGATCGGCCCAGGAGAATCCGGATGGAAGACATCAAAAAAGCTTTTCCTTCACATTCTGAGAGCAGCATCAGAAAACGTCTTAAACTTTGTGCTGACTTTAAACGCACAGGTACAATGAGCCCCTATATCCTTTTATAGCACCATTTGCCCCCATATTGTGTAGTCATTAGGGACATGTTGAGGTTATGTTGAGGCTATGTGATTTTTGAGAGCTGTTTGAGATCAGAATTTACAAGCAGGAAAATGAGGTGGCAAAAAGGTTATTACTTCTACCAATATGGAGCTTACTCTGAAGGTGTGCTGCGGTTCAGGGCAATTCAGTTCAAAGGATAAGTTGTTTAAAAACAATAAGGCTGTTATGTTTTAATATTTGGGTGTAATTTATAGAAAATGGTCTAAATGATTCTTGTTGTACCAGGAATGGACTCAAATTGGTGGGTACTAAAGCCCGACTTCAGATTACCCACTGAAGAGGAGATCCGAGCCATGGTGTCTCCGGAACAGTGCTGTGCGTATTACAGCATGCTGGTGGCTGAACAGAGACTGAAGGTATTTCAGACACAGTTGACTGACATGGTACATAACGCTGTGTCCCATTCACTAAGCATAATATTCAATGTTTTAGGATGCTGGTTATGGAGAGAAGTCATTCTTTGCTCCAGAGGAAGAGAATGAAGAGGACTTTCAAATGAAAATTGATGATGAGGTGTCAATTCAATACAGTTTGTTATATATTTAATATATTTAAATTACCTTCACAAGTTAATAGGCAGTGGAGTAGTTGGTTAATCATTACAAAAATGTTTTGCTTTAGGTTCGGACAGCTCCCTGGAATACCACGAGAGCATTCATTTCAGCCATGAAGGGAAAATGTCTGCTAGAGGTCACTGGTGTGGCTGATCCTACTGGCTGTGGAGAGGGTTTCTCTTATGTTAAGGTGCCCAACAAGCCCACTCAACAGAAGGTTTGTTTGACATTTACTTACCTGGATTTAATATAATTATTTTGAATTGAGAACTTGATTAACCCTGCTCTTTGTTGTTTTGTAGGATGACAAAGAACCACAGCCTGTCAAAAAGACTGTGACAGGAACTGATGCCGATTTGAGGAGACTTTCTTTGAAAAATGCAAAGCAGCTTCTACGCAAATTTGGCGTACCAGAGGAGGAAGTAAGAACTTTATTTATTGATTTGGTATTTAAAAATGTAGGATTTTGCATCCAAATAAGTTATTACATTTGTGTCTATTAGATAAAGAAGCTTTCGCGGTGGGAGGTGATTGACGTAGTGAGGACCATGTCCACAGAGCAGGCCCGTTCAGGCGAAGGGCCCATGAGTAAATTTGCCCGAGGCTCACGGTTCTCTGTGGCCGAGCATCAGGAGCGCTACAAGGAGGAGTGCCAGAGGATCTTTGACCTGCAGAACAAGTCAGCGACATCTGTATTTTTCTTCATGGATTCTCATTTGATCTAGTCTTAACCTACATTTTCTAATTAACCCCAGGGTGCTGGAGTCAACCGAGGTGTTGTCCACTGACACAGATAGCAGCTCTGCCGAGGACAGTGACTTTGAGGAGATGGGGAAGAATATTGAGAACATGCTGCAGAACAAAAAGACCAGCTCACAGCTTTCTCGAGAGCGTGAGGAGCAGGAGAGGAAGGAGCTCCAGAGGATGTTGATGGGAGAGGAGAGTGACAGAGACCACAAGGGCCGCAAAGACAGACGGAAAGGGTTATGTATGTTTAAGTCGTATGTTGTCTGTTCTCTTTACTTCTGACATCTTAATATGGATTTTTTTTGTTTTTCCCTCTTCAGCAAGTTCTTTATCCACCAGCTCTCACAAAGATGATGACACTTGTTCTGTCACCAGTCTGAACTCTTCAGCCACAGGACGTAGGCTCAAGATTTATCGTACATTCAGAGATGAGGACGGGAAAGAGTATGTCCGCTGTGAAACTGTGCGCAAAGCCTCAGTCATTGATGCTTACCTGAGGATTAGAACCACAAAGGATGATGACTTCATGTGAGTGGCTTTAATATAGCTCTTTTACAAGGTACATTTTGAACATGCTAATGGTAATTATTTTTTGCAGCCGGAAGTTTGCCCTATTTGATGAACAGCACAGAGAGGAGATGAGAAAGGAGCGTCGCCGCATTCAGGAGCAGCTGCGCAGACTGAAACGAAACCAAGAGAAGGACAAGTTCAAGGGGCCTCCAGAGAAGAAGGCCAAAAAGGCCAAGGAGAGGCCAGACCTCAAGGTAAAAGTAAGCTTGCTGATTCAGTACTATTTTTCTCCCTGTCCCTCTTTTTCTGCTTGGTACCAAGCTCAAACTTGCACCTGCATTATTGCTTATACTATTAAATAATTTTATAGGTAAATAGTTTTTCGCGTTCCTTAATTTTTACTTCTATTCCCTAGCTTAAGTGTGGTGCTTGTGGTGCTATTGGACACATGAGGACCAACAAGTTCTGCCCACTGTACTATCAAACCAATGCTCCACCCTCTAACCCTGTGGCAATGACTGAAGAACAAGAGGAAGAACTGGAAAAGACTGTTATTCACAATGACAATGAGGAGCTGATCAAAGTGGAGGGCACCAAAATTGTACTGGGCAAACAGCTCATTGAAAGGTATCTTGAACGTTCAGTTATATTATATCACATTTATCTGACCATTTGGATCACGTGAAAATATTATTTCACTGCAGTGCTGATGAGGTGCGAAGAAAGTCTTTGGTATTGAAGTTCCCCAAGCAACAGCTCCCTGCAAAGAAGAAGAGGCGTGTTGGCAGCGCTGTGCATTGTGACTACTTAAATGTGAATATTAACATATTGAAGCTTTGTTGTTACTTCCAAATTCCAGCTTTTTACATTTTTATTTATGTATAGAAACCACACAAGTCCATCCATCGCAGACGCACTGACCCCATGGTGACTTTATCTTCAGTGCTGGAGAGCATTATAAATGACATGCGGGACCATCCAAATGTAAGAAATAACACAAATAATTCAGTTGTTTCCCATCTATGTTTCATTTATTTCAATAATCTGAATTATTCCTGTAGACATACCCCTTCCACACACCTGTGAATGCAAAGGTTGTGAAAGACTATTACAAAATCATCAGTCGCCCGATGGATCTGCAAACCCTGAGAGAAAATGTACGAAAGCGTCTGTACCCATCAAGAGAGGAGTTTAGAGAAGCTGTGGAGCTTATTGTCAAGAACAGTGCCACTTACAATGGTATAAACATAACATCTTGTGAGGAGGCATATCTTATGTGTTTTCATAAATGTATTATTCAATCACAGGGGCAAAACATCCAATCACACAAGTGGCACAGTCCATGTTAGACTTGTGTGATACAAAATTAAAGGAGGTTAGTATTACTATAAAATCAGATATGCTAGATAATAAACATTTATAATCCTTTTGTAAATTTATTTGTGTTTGTGTAGAAGGAAGACAGACTGGTGAGGCTGGAAAAAGCCATCAACCCTCTGCTGGATGATGACGATCAAGTTGCGTTCTCTTTTATTTTGGACAACATTGTGACTCAGAAAATGATGGCAGTGCCTGATGTGAGTCTTTTTTTTAATGTGTTTTTGTTTTACTAATTTCTTTCACGAAGGACAAAAGTTATTAAAACCTCAAGGGCATTTTACATTATGCTGATGACTGTATCCATTTTCTTCTGTGCAGTCATGGCCATTCCATCATCCTGTCAACAAGAAGTTTGTGCCAGACTATCACAAGGTCATTGCAAACCCCATGGACCTGGAGACTGTCCGGAAGGTGCCATATGACGCAAAGCTATTTATAGTTTTATCAACAGAAATAACTTGTTATTTACAGGATTTTGTGCCTCTTTCAGAACATTTCCAAACATAAATATCAGAACAGAGAGACCTTCCTCTCAGACATCAGTCTCATTCACAACAACAGCATCAAGTACAATGGTAAAATATTACATTTATTCATTATTAAAAATATTTCTCAAAGCATACTATGGACATTTATTTATAATCTTTTACAGGTCCAGACAGCCCATACACCAAAACAGCTCTAGAGATAGTCAATGTTTGCAAACAGACTTTGGCAGATGTATGCATCTCTCTCTCTATTTCTCTATTTTTATCTATATTATCTATATTATATATTTATTTTGTAAATATAGTAAAAAACATTGTTTACTAGTAATTGTTGTTTGTGTACCCACAGTATGATGAGCACCTGACCCAGTTGGAAAAGGACATTTCCACTGCAAAAGAAGCTGCTCTGGATGCAGCCGACCTGGAGAGCTTAGACCCAATGACTCCTGGGCCCTATACTCCTCAGGTAAATCTTAAGGAAAATGTTTTCTCCTAAGCCACTTCCTGTTGACACCTCACAACAAGTCGTACCATTTCCTCTTAAATCCTGACTTACACTAACCCATCTGTTCCTCATCTGTAATGATCTGTAACTGCCTGATTGTAGCGTCCAACCCTGTCTCTTTCTCCTTTACTCCTTTTGGTTCTGTTCCTTTACTTGTGTTTGGGGTGCTCTCCTGTCCTCTGTTTGGCGTGGGCCAGCCTGTTGACCTGTTCGACAGTGGGGCCACAGGAAGCATGGCGAGAGACACCAGCAGTCTTTTCTCTGAAGGCCCTCTAGTGGTTGCTACAGAGAAGAGAGGGGGTCAGGTATGAGTGAGTTAAGCATTTAGGCTTGCAACCACACTGCCTTGTCCTGAACACATCTGGATTGTTGAGATTCTTTCCAAAATATTATAAGAAAACATAATTTCAGTCATCAACAGAATGTGAAAGGGGTGAGTAATTATAGGTAAAAATCAAAGGTTTACAGTAAGATATCAGCCTATGGACAAATGGACTTGAAAACAAACATATAGTGGATTTACTATCAATGACATGCAATGGGTGAAATAACAAAACTGAATAAAAATAAAAACAAACACACAAAAAAAAAACATAAGCTCTGTAATTGATGATTTCTTTTTTAGGGTCGTCACCGAAGACTTGGGGAAGAAGAGTCTGATGTGGACATTGAAGGCTTTGAAGAGGACGATGATGGAAAGCCCAAAACCCCTGCTCCTGTAAGACTATAATACATGTATCCAAATTATTTAATCACAACATAATACAAGGGAATTGAATGAAAAAGTATATCCAGGTGTAACTTGGCAGTGACTTACATTGGTTCTTTGTATTGTGTATCCAGGCAGAGGATGCAGAAGGAGACCTGGAGGATGACGATGATGAAGATGAGATGCTGCTGCCGCCTCGCAGACGAATGCATGATGAAGATGATGAGGATGATGATGAAGGGGAGGACAGCAGGTCAAATCGTCCTGCTCAGTCTAGTGTGCTATACCAGGACCTGCTCATGTCTGATGGAGAGGACGACGCCAGTGAGGAGGAAGGAGACAATCCCTTCTCCTGTAAGTTGATACTTTTTATCCCAGCATTATAATCCTCAAAACAAGGTCCTGGCTCAAAACCAGATTGCAGAAGGTCTCAAGTGTTGCAGTTTGGTAGCTCCTGACAAGGTTGCCTCAGAATATCTTAAAATGATACCCTACAAGGCCAATAAATCACTGTGATCTATACTGGGCATGCATCTCTTTTAACAGGTCAAATAACCAAATCACAAAATGGTAGTAAATAGAAGAAACAGCACAAAAATGCAAAACAAATACATTGTTTACGATGTGGAAAATTTTATTACTGTTTGAATATTTGATTTAATGTATTTTGTTCATTTAAACACTAAAGTTGAATGCATATTTTTTTTCAGCCATTCAGTTGTCAGAAAGTGGCAGTGACTCTGATAGAGAGGTGGATGTCAGACCGCAGCCCCCCCGGAGGACCCAGGAGACAGCTCGTATGGGAATGGAGCAGGATGAGAGCATGATGTCATATGAAGGGGATGGACCAGACGAGCCTCATTTGGAAGACAGCAATGTCAGGTACAGGTCCCGCAAGCTCCAATAACATGCACTATTTCTGTGGGTCTCTTAATGGTTTGTCTTGGTCCAAAGCTATGGGAGCTATGAGGACCCAGAGAGCCGCAGTCAAATGCCCCCAAGCCTAGGGAACGGCGATGAGTATGGCATCAGTGAGGAAGAGGAGGATGAAGAAGATGAAGCTCGCAGGAGGGGCCCTGCTGTACTGTCTCAAGTCCAGCTCAGTGAGGATGAGGAGAGTGAGGAGTTCAGGTCCATTGGAGGAGACAGTGACATGGACTCAGATAATTAGTGGACTATGTAAAAAAAAAAAAAAAAAAAGGCACTAGACTTATGTAAATGTGATGTTTGTAAATACCAATATGTAATTAACAATTTTCATCCAACTTTTTATATTGTACACCATTATGACCTAAGCCATGTGTCATCTTAAGATTTGTGCAATTGCACCCAAAATACATGCTTATTGTGTCGCTAAAACAAATAAACAAATGTTTTGCAATGATGCGGAACAGTTTGTTTTGTTGTTTACAAGAGTGGCCAACAGAGAGAAATCTAACAAATTCAATCAAAATTATATCTTTGAATGAAAAGTAAATTTTACAGCAGCTGATTATATTTTAGCTGTAAAAACACTGTAATTTTTAGTAGGAATATTCCTTTTATGATGTGTAAAATCCAATCCAGGACATCTACAAAACAATGACTAATTTGTTGGTTACGGACTGAAATTTATACCTCTTGATATAATACAAAAAAAAACTGTCCCTGAAAAAAACACAAAGTTGCCCCTTATGAAGCTGTTACTTTCAATTTTGTGTCTACCACTTCCTGTTGTTGGTCTTCAAACCTATAGACCTACTTACCTGTTCACAATTGTATTTCTAAACTGTTGGTATATCAAGTCACTTAAAGTGAATCTCTTACCAACTTAATTTCATCTTTGTACTTGTCTTCCATTTTGGAACCAGGCTGCACCTCTGTTTTTGAGAGGAGCAAAAACTCTCTCCACAGAGGAAATGGATGAGTGTGGGATCCTGCATGGGCTAAGGGAGTGGGACCTCTGGCACCTTTTTATGGCTGTGGGCTGGGCCGGCTTCATGTGGTGAGCTGAATGGGAGACAGACCTGTAACTTGAGTCTGTTCTTGCAGATGATGCACCTACAAGATGAAGATGGCAATTTATATTGACTACAGTGTGACTTTGTCATAAATATTTGAATTAGCAATCTAACTTTTACTGCTTACCGGCTCTGATGTGAAGGATCTGGTCAAGATTGTAGTCGTCAATGTCTAAACTGCGACTGCTCCTCACTGCCTGCAGAGAGCGAAGACTGGTGTGCATGGGTGAGCTGGACCTACTGGATGCACCTGAGACAACAGTTTGGTTTTACACCACTTAAACACACAAACACACACAGACCTTATCCTGTTTTCATAATGAGCAAAAACCTTGATTTTGTGCACGCTTGAGCATCTTGTACTCATGAAGTCTGGTCACTTTTGGGCTAAGACAGTTTTCAGTAATCATTCTTGCTGACTGGTTCATTGGCACAGATGCAGTACATGAGGAGGCCTCTGTTCTGTTTCTGTGGGTGATGTTGTTTGTGGTGGTGTCAGAGCAGAGAGGAAGTGTCCATGGTGACTTATGACATCGAAATGTGTAGAAATTCTCCTGTCGCAAACCTACAAAACAACATACGATATGTCAACTCTGTAATAGGCAGTGCACTAGAACACAAACTGTACTATGCTATACTCACAGGCTTCCTGTATACGGGCCGTGTCGTAAATATCTGTTATGTTCTGCAACTTGTAGTTTGATTCAGGTGAGATGCTCTGGTCAATGTGGTCTGCATTGATTGAAATAAGAACGTTAACTGAAACTATAATGCACACATTTTTTCAAAGCAAAAGATCAGGCACTTTACCAAAAGTGTTGGAAGAGGCTCTGCAGCCAAATGAAGTTTGGTCCATTGATAAATCAAAAGAGAGGGTGCCAGGTTGTTGCAGACCTGGATGTCGGGACTCACAACTCAATTCTGTTGAAAGAAATCCACCTTTCATAAATATAATGAGGTTTGAAAATGCAAGTTGTAAAAGTGAAGTTAAAAACAAACTAAATCACTTACTTAAATTAAGCCTGTTTGTCAGCTTTAGACAGGCTGCTTCCATCTCAGGGCTGCGATTATCCAAAACGTGTCTGCACCATCTGAGAGCAGACTCTGTTTTTCCCACAAATGTCAACTTTTTTGGTGAAACATACAACCTGCCAGAAGTAGGAACATGAAGAAAAAAAAAAAAAAAACTACGATAGTTATAACTATAACAGATTTTGTCTCCTACCAACTCTCTTCATCCTCCTCTCTCTCCTCCACATCCAGAAGATCTACTGAATCCAAAACTGAGAGTTCATTTTGCTCAGTCTCCCAAATGTCTTTAGAAAAATCATAGCTGTACATTGATCCATTCATTACACGGTTAGGCACAGGTGAACTTGACCCAGACTTAAGAGTTTCTAGTCTGATCCTGGCGTCCATGGCATAAGAGCCGCTGTGACTCTGCAGCCAGTAGTTGCAGTAGGGATTTGAATTTCCATCAGTTCTCAGAGGCGAAAGTTTAAAATCACTGACCAAAATATTGTTTCCATTATTTGTGTCATACTCTTTGTTGCTAAAGTATTCACTGCTTTCCCCATTCAGTTGACTTTGAAGCTCCATTTTGCAAGTCTATTCCAAAAAATGAACAAATCCTTTCCAGTTTAACCAAATAGCCTTTCAAATAAGACAGTAAAATTCTTACCTTTAAGGAATACAGTATATCTCAATAAGTAGGTACCTTGAATAACAATATTTATTGACCCAGAGCAGTGAGTTCCACTGTTGAGTAGAGGCACTCAACAGATTGGATGGATTTAAAGAAGCAACACAAGCTTATGTGGATTAAACGGTTTGTAAAGTGCAGTGAAGAGGAGGAAACTCTCTTAACATCCACATGATTGAGCTATTAAGTCTCACTGCTGGTATGACACTGCCTGCTATATTTGTGTTTCACAGAATTTTCTGGACAGCAAAGATATTAAAAACATACTATTTGAAATTCTGTCTCTTTGCCTTTGGCGTATGTATATAATGTTTCTTGTGCAAATTTAGATGTCAGACCTGTGTCATCAGAATCAGAGGAAGTCAAACTGAGAAGTGTGGTTGGATCAGATTATGCGGCATGCTCGCTGTTTTGCACTTACAGCTGAGGTATTTTCATTTCATGAGGTCATGTCATTTCAACAAACACACGGCATTAGGCTTGGGGCATTCTGATTCCAAGTGAATGAACCAGCCAGTGTCTTTATGTATGCCATGGCCTTATTTGTGTTTTCTTGTGTTTCTCCTCTCAATCACTGCTGTAATTTAGCACCATCCATAGTTCGTCAGTCTGTGGCAGTGTACACCGTTGCCAGCCCAGTGACCATAGATGTCCATGATATTGATAAGCCTGCCCTTCATGATGAGGAAGAGGCGGTGCTTCCTCTTCACCTCCGCTGCACCTGCGCGCTTCTGCTCTGCCTTCTCACATCTCGCCGCCCACAGACGCTTCCTGCATCATCGCTGATGTCTGCCTCCAGTTTCACCGCCGGTAACAACGGCCAACAATAGGCCCGGGGCCAGGATCTAACTTATGGAACATGGCGATAGTTTTGAGAGGACTTTAAACTAATGAAATGTGGCCAAAACTACGACTAGCAGATTAATAAAACTTCACCTGTGCCTGGCGGGGAAATGCAGGACGAAAGCGGCAAAGCACCTCCCGGGAGCCCCGCTGCGCAGGTAGGAACTTGATGTGAACTCTGCTATTGAACCTCTTCACCGTATCACTTTGTTTGTAATGTCTATTCACCGTGCAAAAGCAATCTTTATCACAGAGTTCCCTGTTTCCGGTTTCAGGTGGGATGTGAAATAAAGACGAAAAGGCTTAGTGGTTAAACCAGTTTGTCCGCATCGCTCCATGGTCTTTCTGGAGCTGCCCTGACTGTATACAGTAGAGATAATGTTATTAACCAGATGTGTTTGCCCAAACTTTTCTCAAGGCATTACATAACAAGTGAACATTCATGATATGTGCAGTGTATTCTATAGGCTTATAATTGTCCCTGCCTATTCTGTTATTGTGAAGTTTTTATTTTTATTTTTTTCATTTTGCTATGATCTGGCCGGGTTTAATAAAGTTTCTTTTCATGCAATCTTGTATCAGTCTTGTATATTACAGGCTGTAACTTGGATTTATTGTAACATCTGTGACACCTTTATATTATTATATAAGTATTTATCATTGCTATTGTTTCCAAGTTTTGAGTCACAGATGATGTTGGCTTCCTCTTTTCTTAAAATTACATCCTATGGTAAGGTTTAGGTAGGAAGAGGAAGTTGTGCGATTTGATGCATTACCAGTGTTGGCAGAGTCTCTAATGTTAATAATTTCTTTTATAGAATTCAATACATAAAAACGGACATGCTGTTACTCAGAATGGCCTTAACGGAACACATACAACAGGACTCCAGACACCAGTGGACTCCAGAGCCCCCAGTCCTATACCTGCGCTCCCCCCAACCATCCCAAGGGAACAGTGGGGTGGAAAATATGAGTTCCTGCTCTCCTGTATCGGATACTGTGTTGGGCTTGCAAATGTGTGGAGATTCCCATACCTATGTTATCGCAATGGAGGAGGCAAGTCTCTGAAATAATGCATACAAACTCGAATGATCAAATGCTGTGTTGTTTTCTTGGGTGTGTCCTGATTTATTTCACACTCATATGAGAATTCACAGTGGCTTTTGGTAAGACAGCAGCCGTTTATAAAGTCATAAGAAGACACTGTGACATTCTTGATTACACTGTGCATATCTGATAGCCCAGATGATGCTATATCTAGAAATAAATATAACTGCACTGAAGATGTCATTGTTAAAACTGTCTTAACATGTATAGAAAAAGCTGTTCTTTGCTATTTTTCACAATCCTAGCAGTCTAATTTTTTAGTTTTCTGGTGTTCATAGGGGTATTTCTCATCCCATACTTTATTATGCTGTTTGTCACTGGAGTGCCACTGTTCCTCATGGAGCTGAGTTTAGGCCAGTATGGAGCAGCAGGCCCGATCACTGTGTGGAAATGTTGCCCTCTGCTAAAAGGTACTAAAGTATTTTTGTGTATGACAAATGAAAACTTCATAAACAAAACAGAGTAGCAAATGGATTATCGTGGAATTCTGCCTAGCTATTTAGAGCAGAGACCTGTAACAACAGCAACAACAAAAAAGGAAAAGTACGCCATTGACATTAATGAGCCGTGTTGTCACCAGTAAATTCCTGAACAACTGCAGGAACTTTACTGACTGACTCATGACTGCCACGTCATGTGTTTTGTAACATGTATTACTTTAATCTTATCGTGTAGAGACATTTTGTCTTAATATAGACCTGGACATTTTCTGGGCATCTGGCCCTAGGACTTTTTTTTTTGCGGGCCTCCAAAATGTTTAATCATATTGTAATGTAGGCATAGGTGCTGTTTTACTCTTTCTTTGAAAATCTTTACCTAGCTGGATGGTCTAACGACAGGGCATGTTATTTGTGCTAGTCGAATGTCCTTTGACATGTCCCTTATTGTGTTCATTAGAAGAATGATGTGTTTAAACCTTAGACATGACTGTTGCTATCTCTTTTCAGGGATTGGCATTGGGATGCTGTGCGTGTCTACTCTTGTGTCTCTCTATTATAATGTCATTATTGCATGGACATTTTATTACCTGGGGAGCTCATTTCAGAGCCCCCTGCCCTGGTCCTGTGATGCTGTAGCCAATGCAGCGCTCTGTGGAAATGAGACAGAAGGGAATACCACCAAAAGACTCAGCCCCACCGAAATCTTCTGGAAGTAAGTACGTTTTATGGTTTATTTAAATTTTGTCTATAATTTATTTTATCATGATAAAATCTGTTTACATTTGCACTACAAATCTTGCATGTTGTTGACTTGCCATTGTTTTTTCACTGGGGTCATAGTCTTTGTTAGTTCAAATACTCTCTGTTTACATTGACTTAACAGTTCACACCCTTTTGCCTGATACAAAGAAAAAGCTGTTGTCTCATAAATCATGCTTTAAATTAAAATATACACTTTAACTTGATTCTTTTGCTATTGTGTGAATTTGACTCACTTTTTGTGTTGATACTTATATGTGCACCCTTAAATAATGTTAATTCTTATTTAATGTCATACTGTGAAACATTTCAGACAATAACATCTCCAAGGAGAAAAGCAGGTGGCGAACCCTCTACCAGAAAACACATTGCCTATTCCAGTTTAGTCAAAATTGTGCTGTTTCTGCTCACGATAATCAGAATTGTAAGATCGGTCACAATCTTAACTTTTTTAACTTAACTTTTGTTCATGGTGGTAAAATCATATAACATTAAAATAAAATAAATAAAATTAGATAACCTCATTTTACATGTCATGTTTACATGCAGAAGAGAAATCTGACTCGGAAAAACACCTGGTGAGTAAGTTAATCAAATGATTTTTGAAACTGATGTATTTGGAAAACAAAGAACAATTCATTTTAATTTTGCATCCTTGTCTACCCCTGCATAGATGCGACCATTTAAAGAGAAATCCTCACATCATATGTAACTATTTACATGGCATTTGAATAATCTGAAATCAGATAATGATCAGATTTGTAGTGTGCGTGTAAAGAAGACCGGTGTCTAATTTTAGATCACAAGCCCTCTTTCATCTTTGTTTAATTTCTTGTACCTGATTTGCAGAGACATTGATATGTTAATGTCCTGTATGTTTCAGTGAGCGTGTTCTGGGGGTAGTGTACAGTGAGGGGCTCCATGACCCCGGCCCGGTGCGATGGCAGTTAGCTCTCTGTCTACTGGCTGCCTGGTTCATCATCTTTCTGTGCATGCTTAAGGGCATCCACAGCTCTGGGAAGGTACATTAAAAAGCAAATATAAAATAATAAAATAATACAACATTTAGTGTTATGAAATGTATATCTATGTTCTTTAACACAGGTGGTCTATGTAACAGCCACTTTCCCATACTTTGTGCTCATTGTCCTAATCATCAGAGGGGCTACACTTGAAGGATCGCTGCAAGGCGTTGCTTTCTACCTCACTCCAGACTGGGCCCGGTTAGGAAGTGCACAGGTATTGGGCACTTAAAATGAAAAACTACAACATATATGAGAAACTGAGAAGTACTAACTAAACAATATTTGTAAAATGCAATAGTTCCATACAAAAACACTTCTGAAATGAAAAGGTTGGATATATAAAAAAAAAAAGGACAAATAATAATAATACATTGTTGAGAAATTATTAAATAATTATGTGTTATGACCTACTGGTTGTATGCCTGGCTTTCAGACTGTTCTGTATTGTCAGGCTCTGACAGAGCTGTGCATACTTCAGTCTTGCATAGGAAACAAACTTATCGGTCATCTGCAATTCAGTACAAATCAAACCTTTCTCATGTCTTGATTCACAGCATTCATTGCTTCTCCCATTCATTCTACATAGGTCTGCAATATTTTTAGTACTGTTTATATTTCTGTTACATATGAACAGCCTTGTTTGTTTTAATATGAGCAGACAATGTGTTTAATTATTGACTAATCCGCCTGTCATACACGGCCATCAGAATTCTGCAAACAGTTTAACTGGTGGTGGGTTGCTGATAATACAGTGTACAAACCTCTGTAATTACTGCTATTTCAATGGCTTCTTTTATTTTTGTTATTGTTAACTGTGTCCCCCCCTGCAGGTGTGGAATGATGCAGCCTCACAGATATTCTACTCTCTGGGGATAGGTGTTGGTGGGCTTCTCTCGATGGCCTCATATAACAAGTTTGACAACAATGTGATCAGGTATGTTGTTACTTTACGTGTCTGTTATCTATTTGAATTAATGTTTAATGTCCTGTAATGTGCCTAGTTGTCTGATTAAATGTTTCCTTTTTTACCTGCCTTAGGACCATGGACACTAACTCTGTCATATTTATGTTCAAGCTGCTTACTGACACTTAATATGCACTTGCCTAATTCAAATAAATAAATGAAATTAACTGAGGCCTTATTTTAAAAAGTACAAAGTATTCAGATTATGTTTCTTACAGGGATACTATAGTTATCACAGTGGGGAACTGTGCGACCAGCTTCTTTTCTGGGTTTGCCATTTTCTCCATCCTGGGACACATGGCGTGGAGGAAGGGAGTGCCGGTCAAAGACGTGGCTGACACAGGTACTTTGCATTTTCTTTTAAAGCTGATAAAACAAATCTAATCAAATTCAGAAAGCGTATATTATTTTTAGAGCAACTGACCCATTTGATATATTATGTGATAAAAAAAAAATGTATATTAGGGTAGGGCAGTAAGATTTTTAGATTTTTATTAGATTAGATTAGATTTATTGTCATTGTACAAAATACAAACAAAACTGATATTGCACGACTCTTCCATGGATCATGATTTTTAAAAATATGTCTTTCAGTATTAATGTTCATGAACATAGATGAGACAGTTAGTCAGTCTCAACAAAGCACTACAGAATCAGTCCCTCCAAAATCTCCACATCACATGCTTTTAGTGGTACATGATTGGCTAGTAGACCATTTGATCAATTGCACAGTCCTGTTTCATTAATAAATATTTCATCATGTTTTCTATAGGTCCAGGTTTGGCATTTGTTGCTTACCCAGAAGCCCTTGCTCTGCTGCCAGGGTCCGTATTCTGGTCCATCCTATTCTTCCTCATGCTGTTTATGCTGGGAGTTGATACTCTGGTAAGCCCCTCACACACACAATGATGCATGAGGCCCTCTCACTGTAATAATGCCATGCTTTGTTATCCTCAGTTTGGCAACATGGAGGGCATCACCACAGCAGTGCTGGATGAGTTTCCACAGCTCAGGCAAAATGCGCTGCACAAGTCGTTGTTCCTGGGCGTACTCTGTTTTGCCTTCTACCTTATGGGCCTCCTGCTGGTCACTAATGTAAGTGACCTGCATTATTCACTTTACATATGTTTATTATTAATCCATGTGCTGTTACACTCACATGTCAGTCCCATGTGTTCATAGGGGGGCATTTACTGGTTCACCCTCATTGACTCATTCAGCACCAGTTTTGGCCTCATCATAATCACCCTCTTCATGTGCCTTGGCATCTCCTTTTTCTATGGTATAACACCCACAGCCTCTACTGCATTCACTTCATCTTTGTCTTCACGTTTTGTTGGACTACTTGCTTACTTGCTTATCAGGTTTTTTTGTTTGTTTGTTTGTTTGTTTGTTTTGTTTTTTCTTACTGGTATGAACTGTCTTATGTGTTAATAGGAGTGAACCAGTTTTGTCAGGACATCATAGATATGATCCGTCACTGCCCTCCGTGGTGCTCCAAAGTTTTGCTTTACTTCAAAGGATGCTGGGTTTTCTTCACTCCGTTTCTTTTAATGGTGAACACATTTTTTATTATTATTTTTTTATTTATGTAGGTTAGCATCTTGAGGCTTAATTTTCAACCCGGACATATGCAGTAGTTTTGAACACATGTTAACCAAGTTTAATTTAACTTTATTAATCCTCAGGGAAAAATAAGTAATACTATACTTATACTTCCTTTAAAATGTTCCCTGCATTGTATCGTATTTCTACACTCGCTGTAAGAGTAACTTGATCTAGCGCATCATGAACTCTGGTGCTGTTTAAAAATGCAGATACTTTATAGGAAAGTCAGTAAAATGGTTTCTATGATAAGTAGCCGCTGTTGAACTGAAACTCGGTGTAAATAATTCAAATGTGCCTTTGTCACTGGCTTTACATTGCACGTTGCTCATTGTCTTTCTCTTTACATAGTTCATCCTGACTTTCATCTTCATTGAAATGTACAACACACCTCTTATGTACGGGTCCTATAAGTATCCCATGTGGGGTAAAGCGCTCGGCGTGTGCATGGCAACAGTCTGCTGTCTACAGATCCTCATTTGGGGCATTGTCGCCATCTGCAAAGAAACTGGGACGCTGAAAGACGTCAGTATCACCTCTTTTTCATTCTGTCCTTGTTAGGTCTTCTTACACACTGGACTTTTTTTGTTGTGTCCCATCCTCATTTTACACATGACAAGATTAACTAATGTGCTTAATATTAGGGCGGCAATAATTAATTAGCTAATTGTGACTAGTGGACTATAATTTAGATTTTCATCGATAATGCACTTCTTTGTCTAGAAGCCTTTGTCCATCATATTTGCACCTTTTATTTGATTTTAAAATGTCTCTAAAGTATCAGTCTACAATAAAAATAATTGTTTGATGTCTAGTTTACTAATGGAAAAAATAATCACTGAGTACTTGACTACTATAATTGTCAGTTGCACTAATACTCAATATGATTAGGGTTTTATTGACTATGCTATGGTTTCTTGTTACAGCGTTTTCAAAAATCTATTCGACCTCTAAACTCCTGGAGGGTGAACAATTTGAACAGCACCGGGCGGGTGGAGGAGCGGGTGGAGCCGGAGAGAGTGGAGGCTCCGTTTACAGTGACGCTCACGGATATGGACTTCACCGCCATGACCTGGGAGGTGGGGAGCCACGCGTGATCTGTTGGAGAACAGGGAATGAACTACTTAAGGAGAAACTATTACAATTGCACAACTTGACTCTGAAAGCTATATCTGTAAGAACTGTCCTGGAGTGCTCCTGGATTTATTAAATCAAACTGTTGTTTACCGTCAGGACAATCTTCAGCACTGAAGATATTTTTGTTTTAAGATATGGATGATATGGACTCTATAATTTATTAACATTGCCAGTGTCAATAAGTAATTTATTGTTGAAAGTTTTTTTGTTAAAGTTGCGCTATGTAACTGGGAGACTGCTACCATCTTGTCTGGAGGCATATTTTATTGCTTTACCTGGAATGTTCCACATCATAGCATTAAACGTCTCTGTCTCCATAAAGGAAGTCCACTCACATTAATAATTTTTCATTGTACTTTTCTTGCAATAACAATGCCTGTAATTAAATAAATATGACAAATATATCAAACTGAGCAACATTGTAGGTAAAGCGTTAAGGAGGTGGCGCATGGTCCACTAGAAAAGTTACACAATGCACCTTTAAAAAAGTGATCATGTTTATGAAAAAATATCACTTGAATTTCCAGACTTCCAACTCAATCATTGTTCTGCGACAACGTTCTGTTAAAACAAGCTAAACTGGTGGTGTTTTTAAATTCTTATTTTGCAAAACTGTTTTTACTGTAAATTATAATTTTAAATGAAAAGATCATAAATTAAAGAAAGAAATATGTTGCCAAACTCTAGATGCTTGTTATTCAGATGTTTTAATTGTGTGATGGGCATTGAACTGTCTACATTTCAAGTAGTTATTTTATTTTAAATGTTTTGATATTTTGATCTACAGAGACTGTTTACTTGTTTGCATACATTTGGAACAAGAGGGAATAGCTGGTCTCTTTCATGTTCTTTGTAAACAATTGTAAATGGAATAGTGGCTTAGTATTGTAAAAATTGTTATTACTCAAAAGTTTATTTTCTTACATTAAAATGAAAAATGTGCCATGTTGCACAGTCGACATGCTGCTTATGTACATGATAGAAGTTTATTTAATATTATAAAGTAAAATCTGAGATTGTCAATAATATTCTCTATGCTATCTTGCTTTGATTTTGTTGTTTTAATTTGAAAAAAAAATAAAAGTGTCACTGGACATCATCACTGCATTTACCTAGTTGAAATGATCAGCTATTATTACATAAAATTAATTTAATTTCATCTATAATAATGTACATACACAATTACAGATTACTGCTTAAATAAGCAATAATAAAAATAATATGAATATAAAACAAAACAGCTACTCGAGTAGTGCGGCGTCTATACGTGAGCGGATATTGCGTCTACATTTTCCCGCGTTTTCTTGTAGCGAGTTTGGGTTGGCTCGTTTTCGAGATTGCAGTAACCTGTAGTCACGCGGTATGGTAAATTACAAAGAGTAGATAATTTTAATCCCTTTTTGCATAATACATTGCTTTAAATCAACTTTGATAACCAAATAACGAGTTAAATCAATGAATAAAATGCTAGTTTAGTTTAATCCTGATATGTTTTAAAATGTATAAATACAACTGCGAACCCCGTGACACAAAACAAACGCCCCTCACGCACGGCTTGAGGAAGGGGAAGCTGGAGTTTGTTGTATTGTTTCCATAGAACTCGTGTATTGTGCTTTACACCTTGTTATCGCCTTATTTTTACGGGTTTGTTGCAATATTTCATCTGTTTACGATTAAAGAACGTATTTTTTGACGATGCCACCCAAAAAGCGCAACTCTGGTACACAGAAAGACCTCATCAAGCCCGGCGCTGAAGCTGGATCTCAATCGGACAAGAAGGAAAGCCCAGTTTTATCACTGAAAAAGTAAGTCACAGGTTGAGACATTATTTGTGTGCGTGTTACGTGTATCTATGTTGAATTTTATGCTGGCTAACTACCTCGATGGGCCAGGATCAATGCCTAATTTACTCTTATTTCACACTCTTGCTAAGTCGCCATTATAGTCTTTCTGCTTGCAAAAAGTTAATGCAATGTTCTTTAAAAGTTTCTACTAACTATAAGTACAGATAATGGACACGGACTTGCACCTCTAAAACACTTGTTATGAGGCGTAATACCCGTTTAATAGAATAACAACACGTTTCTACCATGATAACAAAGCGCTTCATTGTTGTGAGGGGTCGCTGTATCTCACCACTCTGACCTTTCCATCTCCAGACACAGGGATAAAGACACAGAGTTCGTCATCTTCTGCAAGAACCTTCATGTGTCAGACCTGGTGTGTGAGCAGACCTGGAAACTCTGCAAAACTATCCAGGAAACAGTGACTGAAGAAGTGGTATGTGTATTATTCTAATCTATGTCCTATGTATGCTCTTGTTTTGTTCACTTAAAATTTCCTGTACTCCAATTCTTCTAGGAGGGCCGTGCAAAGCTTTGGGGAGCTTGTCTTTTTGTGACTGTGACAGATCTTGACGCAACATGTTTTACCTTAACCCAGCTTCTCAAGGCTATCAATATGAAGTAAGGTCATAACTAGGAGTTGTTGATACTGACAAAAATTAATATCTCAATATTTTTTGGGAGTATGCCAATAGCAGTCTTACAAAGATGTGCAAATATGTTTCTGTGTTTTGACTGAGGTATCAGACAATTATATAAAGCAACTAGTACTTTTGTGAATTTCATGCTGTATGTCTTCTTCTCTACAGTGTCAAAGGGTTTCTCGGTTTTGTGAGAAAACTTGATGTGAATCTGGATACTATCAGTACAAAAGTTAATGCAGCTGTAATGAGACTGGAGAAGAAGTACGATGTGACACTGGCTCTTTACCAGAGGTTTGAAAAGTAAGAAGACTTTAATATTTGCTGTTCAGTCTGATTTGTGGTGTGACTTAAGATCTTAAAAGTTCAATGTCTTGTTTCAGAACATGTAAGAACATATTTGTTTTGGGCTTGAATGATGGGTAAGTTGATATATATTTAGTAAATATTGCACTGATTTCGTTAAATATTTATCTAAATGAACCTATTTTTATTCTTTAGAAATCGAGAGCTGGCACGAAACTGCTGGACACTGTTTCTCTTGGCCAAAGGTACAAATCTGTTAAAAAATACAAACTGCACACAAGTCCTCTCTCACTTTTTCTGAGCAGTATTCCAGTATTCCATTATTTTGTTATGATATTACTTGTATAAAGTTACACTTGTTCTGTTGATAGGAAAGGCTTTGCAGATGGAGGACGACTTGGTCATATCTTTCCAGTTGCTTCTTTGTGCAATGGAATATTTTATTAAGCGTTGTCCTGCCGACCTTTTGCAGCCTCTTTACAGTAAGCTTCATCTTGTGGCTAAGAATCTTTATGCAAAATTCTCAATTCAAAGTGTAAAAGTATTGCTAAAACTATTACATCCAAATAAGTCAAAATACTGACTTGGAATTAGGTTTAAAGCTAATATTTTAAGTAGTTACGATACACATTTATTCTCACAGAATCAGCCATCACAGTCCAGAGTCCTCCAACACGAACATCTCGTCGAAGCCAAAACAAAACCAAAGCACGACCTCCTGAACCGGAGCTGGATGTGCAGCTGCTGGACACTTTAAGCAAAGAGAATGAATGCAATGCTGAAGAGGTCTGGCTGTGGACTCTTTTATTTTACACCAGTCATATTTCTTTATAGTACAATAGTTTCACGTTTTGCACACTGTTACAGGTGAAGAACGTGTATCAGACAAGCTTCACTGCCTTCTTGGAGTCATTGCATCTGTCAAAATCTATAGATTTACCTCAGGTAATTTCCACTAATCTACACTGCTGTTATACGGTCCCTCCCCCATCCCATCCTTTTTCTTCCTCTCTCAGAAAAGGCTTGTAAAGCTTGTACAGCTGCTTCCTGTTAAGTACAGGTTGGTGTGTCGAATATGATATCCATGGTGTCAGAAAAATGTGTACTGCGTTAGGGTGTGTATTGACTAGTAATATAATGGCTATGACTGGATGCTACTGTTACCATAAACTCCAGATGCACTAAACTAGAAACTAATTAATTGCAACATATATTGTTTTTTTATTTATCAGGTTAACATTCTGAATCAGCAGTATGAGGAGCACTACCTCAAGGAGAGGGACTTCGATGCCCGACTGTTTTTCGATGGAGACGAGACCATCTTTGCTCCTAAAACTGAAATGTAATTTAATCTTTGTCTTGAATGTAGTGGTTGCAATTTACTTGATTTTTAATTTTTTTTCTAATTACAGAACACAAATGGAAAAAACACCAAAGAAAAACTTGCAGGAAGACGATGCTGTCCGCGTCCCTCCACAAACCCCAATCAGGTCAGTTTCAGTAGCACCCGTATATAAATTAACACATTGTTTAAAAGCTTTTGATTCATTGATTGAATTGATCTGTTTTTATACTCAGGGCGGCTATGACGTCTATTCAACAACTCCGAGGTGATCTGGTCTCCAATGGAGATAAGCCCTCTACAAATCTGAACATATATTTTAAAGTATGTTTGTAACATACTTTGTAACAACAATGTAAATATAGCTGGGGCTAATTTACAGTTAAATTAACTTTAAGTTTTTCTGTTCAGAATTGTACTGTTGACCCCACACAAAATGTGCTGAAAAGACTGGAAATTCTTGGGCAAACCTTCAGCCAAAGATTCTGCCAGGCTGTTGGTCCACGCCTCATTTCTACTGGGAAACAAGTAATATAATGATGGTTCATTGACATTTTACAGTGCATGGATATTTTGACTTAAAGATTGTTTTTTTCATTAGAGATACACCCTTGGCGTCAGGCTGTATTATAAAGTGATGGAGGCGATGCTGAAATCGGTAAGAATGGTTTAAAAAATTTAAACATTTTAAAAGTACCTTTTCTTTAAACCATACAATACTTTTAATATTTAGGAAGAGGAAAGACTCTCCGTGCAGAATTTCAGGTATGCTTTTTGGCACATTATAAATAATAACCAATCATTTTAAGGGTTGTATTTATGTATTCATGTTATTTTTCTCACAGTAAATTACTTAATGATTCAAAATTTCATACATCTCTCCTGGCCTGTGCACTGGAAGTTGTCATGGCGACATATGGAGGTGGGTAATGTTTTTGATACTAGTATATACACAATGTTTAAGCCTGCTGTTGTAGTCTTGATATTATTGTTTGATATGTCATTGATTAGAGAGCAGTTTTAAATCTGGAGGAAGTGGTGAGTCATCTGAAAGCAACCTGTGCTTCCCCTGGATCCTCGACGTCTTTGAACTTGCAGCTTTTGACTTTTACAAAGTGATTGAGAGTTTCATCAAAGCCGAGCCCTCTCTGAGCAAAGATATCGTCAAACACCTGGAGACCTGTGAAAACCTCATCATGGAGAAGATTGCATGGCTTCCGGTCAGTACTGTCATTTCATTATCTATTTTATTTATGTGAACAACAAAAACGGGTATTTAACCCAACAAGTAAAGAGTGATTGGATGGTTTAGTAAAAAAAATCCCTAATTAGTAGTTTTTACTGAACCAAATTACTAGAGTCCAATTGATTGTTGCGGTGTTGTGGGTCACTTGCTGCCTCCAGGTGATGGTTCTCGGTGCACCAGTCTCCGAGAGAAATAATAGATGAGAGGATTTAAGCAGCAGTTTGAGCTGGCAACTGAAAGCACCACTGGGTGCAGAGCTTTAGTTACTTTGGCCAGGGCACAGCTGGGCAGCAGTCCAACATGAGTAAGTGTGTAGCCCAACAGGTTGATATGATACGGGACAAAACAAATCAGAAACACACCCAGGACCCAGTAGATGATGGTGAGCGTGTGCTTACGGCGCAGACTCTGGGAGTGGTGGCGTGGCTGACGCAGCACTGCCAAAACTCTGCAGTAGCTGAAGAGCAGGAGTGCTGTGGGCAGCACAAAGCTCCCCTGCACCAGCCCCAGAGCCACCAGGATGATGGTGCTATGCTGCGCAGACCGGGGGTCGAGTAAACAGGGTTCGTGTTGGTGAGAGGCAGCAGAGCGCAGGAACAGCAGGCCCAGGCTGAGTCCTAAAACCAGGCTCCACAGCACTGAGCTCAGCAGCTGTGCCACTCTCTTTCGCTGCACTGACGAGCTCAGGGGGTGGACCACTGCGAAGTAACGGTCCACGGCAATGCACACCAGGAAGAATATACTCCCATACAGACTGATGTATTTGAGGGTGAAGGTGAGCTGGCAGTAGGCGGCCCCAGGAGTCCATTGGCCCCTGATTGAAAGGGACTGTGCATTTTGATGGTAGTAGTAGATTCTCAGAGGAAAAGACAGAAGAAAAAACATGTCTGCTACAGATAAGCTGATTATGTAGATGGCTGTGCTGTTGAGTTTGTTATGAGATCGCTGACACAATCTTCTTAAAGCCAGAGTGTTGGTCATCAATCCGACCAGGAAAATGATGCTGTAGGACACTTGATAGAAGATGAAGCGGTAGGCTGTGTTCACCGTGCAGTTGAACTGAGGGGCATAGGGTTTGAGTGGCTCTAAACTCATGTTCCCCTGGTTCATATTTATAATACGGACCTGATGTTACCACGGTACTACACACTACCACAGGAAATGAGTTCAGTGGAGTTGAGTTGCCTCTGTCACAACAGTTACACCTGCGGCAAATAAGAATTTCATGAGCTATAAAACTTGAGTCTATATGTCGAGGAGACATAAATCAACTAATAAAGGGCAATGAGCTAAATGAATATTTGTTGCACCGGACAATCACAGGCTGCCTACAAAAGCTCAAATGTTTCCATAAAACTGGTAAACATCACTGTTAATTAAATTAACGTGGAGATTAAATTTAAGCATTAATTTAAGAAAAATTTGGTCAGTTTTAGATTTAGTTGAAAAAAAGAAAACATTAAACATTGCACCAAAAATATGACACCGATGCGGAATAATTTTATGTTATAAAAGTCAGTTGTTTTTTTTTTTGTTTTTTTTATCTGTATAATATTTGAGAGAACCCTCATCATAAAGTAGATTTTACTATTTCAGTTTTGTAGAAAAACATGAATCACTATAGTATTAATCTCATGACTCACCTCAGGCTGTAACATCAGGAGAGCAGCCAAGAACTGAAAGAGTCACAGGAGACGAACAGGTGCTCCGAGTTGTCCCCTCCCACCCGGTCATTCTGTTACATATTGTCCATCTCGCTATTCTAAACTCTCTTCTGCCAAAAGGTGTATGAAGACACACTGACTGCCCCCCTTCATGTTTCTGTGTTCTTTATTAAGACCATTTTAATCTGGGTTTGGGCGGGTATTAACAGAATACAAATAAAATTATCTTTACCACTGACTGACTATATTTCATGAGTAAAGTAGCAGAGGGTCAAGAATTCCAGTCCAGTTGGGCTGTAGACTCCTGCACTAATTTGTGGGAACTGAAGTCTGTACAGTCTTTTAATGAAGGCACTCACTCTTGTGGAGGCAAAAATAGGGCCACATGAGGTACATCCTACACTTTTTAGGTCAGTGACTTGATTTAAAGTTGATTTATAGATATATTAGTGATGGGTGAGTTTAGGGTTTAGGTTAGGCGAGAAGCAATTATGGGCAAAGTTGGGGTCAGTCTAGGAAATTAATGCAAGTCCTCTCAAAGTTTGGAAACAACATCTATGAAAGCGTCAGTGACAGTGTGTGAAAGTTCCTGTAGAGTTTGAAGTGTGTTATGTGATATGAAATGTGATTTTTAACACCATTAAGTAACAAAAAAAATAAAACATTGAAAATTTATATTATTATTTATGACAATCTTTTAATGACATGCTCATTTGTCACAACAGTGTTATAATGGAAAACTGTCAGTATTTGTTGCAATACAAATGGACTGTACATTACATTATGAAATGATTACTTTTCAGAGCAATCCTATATAATTTCAGAAAACAAACGCTGGTTCTTTTGCCTGCACATGTGCCAATTTGCTGGACTGAGTTTGTAAAGTTAGCTCTGTTATGGTTCTATCCTGTGGTGAGACATGTCATTGCAGGTCTCTTTGTTTCACAATTTTCTGTTTTACTTGATGATGAATCTGCTCATGTCAGTGAGGACCCTCAGGCTACAGCCTCCACAGGAATGTAGTAGCGCTCAGTCTTGTAGCACATAACTCTGTAGTCTGGCTGCCCTTCTGTGGGAAGGCTTTATCAGAATCAGTTGGAACTTCTAAGCTATTGAACTGTAAATAAGTTATTTTATTAAACAAAATATAACCTTTATGTTAGACTACAAAGTGCTTACAATAAAAAAAAATAAAAAAAAACTTTTCAATTCTGCAAACAACACACACAAAAGCTACAATACATTTTAAACTAATTTAATACTGGATCATAGTCAAACTCACACACAGGGCATCAACTATAACATTACATTACATTACAATGAATCACAACAAAAGGTCAGATAACAATATTACATTATTAAGAGTTCAAAGTGTGGCTTATGGGTTGGCACCCTTCATTATCCCTAAATGTCTTTGTCTGAATTATTTGCAGACTCGTCATTTAGTTTTGATAGAGCTGTTCTTAGAGTGAGAGTTTTAGGGGATGTGATGGGACTGTTCCTGGAGCTGTCTAACTGCAGTCTGTCGAAAAACTTGGTCCCATTTTGCCATCTGGTGGACTTGCGTTTGATGGAGCTCTGAATGCTCTCTGAAGTGAAGTAATAAATGACTGGATCAAAGCAGCAGTTGGTGACCGCTATACACAGGGCAATGGGGTAGATAGTTCTGACCACAAACTCTGCGTTGCACCCTTTGAGGACCTTGGAGCGAACCATGGCATAAAATATGAGGTTGACGTTGTAGGGAATGAAACAGAAGCAGAAAATTACAATATGGACAATGATCATCCTTAAAACTTTAGCTTTGTTGAGGTCCCCCCCGCGACTGATGGTCTGGGGGTTTTTTAATGTCCGTAGCACCATAGCTGAACAGAACACATTGAGCAGAAGTGGGATGATAAAACCTACAGTTTCTATAAACATCACCACTTTGGACAGCTCTGATCTCCACTGGTCTCTGGAGTAGTTCTCGAAGCAATAGTAGGTGGAAGAATTTATATTTTTGATGGACGATGTCCTCAGTTGATAGCCAACAGCAATGCCTCCAGAAAGTATTATCGTCCATACGGTTAAACAGGCAAGTTTAGCATTGCGTTTTGTGCGAATGGTTTTAGAGCGAAAGGGATACACAAGGGCCAGGAAGCGGTCTATACTGATACAGGTTAGAAAGAGGATGCTTCCGTACATGTTGGTGTAGAATAAAGCCACAGAAATCTTACAAAGCACTGGGCCAAAAATCCACTCTCTCTTCACAAAGTAGACAATTCGAAAAGGCAGACTGAGCACAAAGAGAGAGTCTGACACCACCAGGTTCATCAT